CCGATTCCGGTTCCGACTCCGGTTGTCACGGTCACGGTCACAAGCGGAGACGCTCAGAGGCAGCCTGGACCTCCCGAAGCCCTTCTTAGGCCTTCTAAGGATGCCTGGGCTCCTCCCTTGGCATCACGGTCCCAAACCTGCCTCTCCGGAGCTTCGAGGGCTACTCGACACTCACCTAGGGTCCATTAGCGACACCTGACTTCTCCCATGCGTCGTTCGTCGCTATGCAGTCACTCTATCATTACTCCGGTCACTAGTATATAGTAGTGCACCTGAGCAGAGGGCTCCTTGGCTTGTTCTCTAAGGATTCCCCCTCTGCTCAGGTGAGTCTGTAGCGTCCCTTCCTGTTGTAGTAGTTCACTAAGGATTCCCCCTCTGCTCAGGACTCTGATTTCGAGCCTCGCGAGGTTGCCCTTACATTATCATGGTCTGAGGTCTTGATAAGAGCCTTAATATGCTTGGTTACCTGATATGTCACAGTGTCACAGTACACACAGTGTCACAGTACAGCCCTTTGTTTTTGTTTCCAACTTTCATAACTTAATGCCTTCAAAGATCAGTCTGAGTTGGGTGTGCTTCCATTCAAATACTGATAAACATTAAATTATGGCCAATAGTACTTACCACTGTGTAACTCACTACACCACCAACCCGGCATGACACTTGGCTGATGTCATGCCAAAACGTCGCCTGACATCAGGTTGTGACATCAAGATCGGATATCCGTGATGTCAGGACGAAATTGAATGCGCATATCTTCCTGACATCTGTTTGACAAGGGATATCATACAGACATCCTGAGGTGGACCAGCGCCAGACAAGGCTGTGACAAATGGGGGATGCCTACTGAATGGTACAGAACACTCAAAAAGACAGGCAATAATGTATATTGTGCTGTAGTAACTACATACATAATATATACTGACTAATTGCAACCCTATGTGTGCGCTATCGATGTACACCGAGGCCGCACCGGGGCGCAGCAGTTGCCCAACGAGCCGGCGCATCCTTCTCGCTCAGACACTACCCGCCGATCAATTGCTTGCCCGCACCGTTGCTGAAGCTGGTTGCGCCCAAAGGATTGAAGGGTGGGCCGCAGCAGCACTGCCGGCCCTCAGCGACTCCACGGGCACCGCATTTGCCAGCTGGGGGGAGGTCAGCGGGGAAGAAGGGGGACGATAGGGAGGGGGACAAACCGTTCTCGGTGCAGTAGCGCAAGGCACAGTCCGCCTTGGACGAGCGGTGATGAACTGGGTGCCCGCGGGGATGCGCTGGACGACCGTGCCAGAAACACAAGCGCCACTACGAGCAATATCAGCGTTGGAAAGAAAAGTGGGCCTGGGGAAAGGGAGACATACCGTTAACAGCAAACACAAGACTGCGTTGCGACCGTGGGTGTGGGGAGTCTGGACGCTGTCCAAAAGGACTGACAACGTGAATCATGGCTGGGCTACCCGGCGTCGCGTCAGCCAAACACAACCCGGAGAGACGAAGGTGTCGCACCTAGCCCAGGCCCACAGCATGGCACCAACGGCAGCCTCCCAACTCCAGCCAGCTCTTCCTTATATGCCATGGCGGAGCGGGCGGAGCGCTATTGTCTTGGCGCGGGAGGGAAGAGTGGGGGCGAGTGCCACTGAGGGGAAAGTGGGAGGGGGATGTGGGCGGAGGAAAGAAAAAGCCACGAGTGGCGCCATCTTTTATTGTCACACGATGAAATAATGTTACATCTTGATGGGCTGATGCATGTTCCGCGCTTGCTCTGGAGCCGCGCCCATCTGGTGGACATCAAGCGAGATGTTGGCACGATGTAGGTTATAACATCCCAAATACAGCTCTAGAACGTTGATCTGACATTTTCTGTTTGACAGTAATATGATATTGGGTAACTATCAACCCGAGATTGGCGCCGCCATTGCCTTGACATCTTGGGGTGACATCGGCTCGTTGTGTCAACGGGTTGGTGGTGTACCACTGCATTCAGACATGCCATGTGTATGCCCAGTTGTTGTGGCTTCTGACAAGGAGGGGGGATACTTATGGGGCCCCCAAAAATCTATTTCCCAATAAGGAAATTACATTTATTAAGACCCTTATTTTGACCACCCTTAATAAGGCTTAATATATAATTAAGGGCTTATCATGGATGTGCAGTCTTATTAAGGGTCTTATCTACAACGCTGCCAGCGGCTACCTAGCAGGTGGACCCTTAGAGTTCTTCTCTTTTGATTCTCCCCTGCTAGGACCTTGATCTCAGGCCTCTGGGGTTGCCCTTACAGTGCTCACTGTTCCTGGTACCCCTTTACAGGACCTTACTATTATATGCCACCTGTGACCTCTGTATTATACCCTGAATTGGTAGTAAATTAAAAAGTTCTTTGAAATAAGACTTTTCTCTACAAACTTACATAAGGCATGCAACAATCCCGACAAGTGGCGGGGTCACGTTATCGATTTCCATATCGAGAAGCTTTCCGCGTGATTACTAATTTTGGCAATCGGACGCTGCGCAAATATCAAAGCCAGTACTGCGCTCGGGCCGCTGATGATCTGATTTAAGGCGTCACGGTGTGACGAACAATAAACGCAGTAGAACTCACACCACGACCACCGACATGGCAGAGATCAACCACCAACTAGAGTCCAAGCGGGACTGTCTTCGAGCCGAGCTGGCGGCAGCAAAGGAGCGGCTCGTCGAGCTCGAAATGGAGCTGGCGAACGAGAAGGAGAAGGTGGCACGCGTCGTGGCAGCGCTGGTGGAGGGGAGCGGGTTGGAGAGTGTGCCTTACAGCCCGAAGCACAGTTCTGCGAGCGAATACTCGAATGGTTCGTCGTGCCACCTACGCTGCGGGCCCCATCATAACATCCATCAGAAGATCGCATCACCTTGAACTCCACGATCGACGTGCTGTACGCGGAGCTGCAGGACACGCGGGACCTGCTCTCCGCCAATGAGGCTCGCCACACGGTGGCACTGCGCCGCAAAGACGAGCTCTTCGCACAGCGGCTCGGCGCAATCCGCGCGCAGATCGTCGGCACCCTCCGCGCGTTCGCCGAGGGTGATCCGATTGCGGCGCCGCACTTCGGCTTCCTCGATGACTACGCGGAGCCCGTCGCACCGGGGCCGGCTGCCACTGCCACCGTAACTTTGGACAGCCCGCCGAGTGTTGTAAATGCTGGTGGGGCACTGAAACGACGGCGCGGTTCGGAGGACATGGAAGATTCGGTCAGCGGTGGGCCATCAGTGTCGACAGGTGAAGAAGAGGACGGACAACGTCCAACGCGCCGGGTGCGAATGTGATCAGTATCTAGTCCAAAAGTGTATTAGTAATAGTAGCCAGCTTGAAACTCGGAATACTTAAGCTTCATTGACATTGACAAGCGCTTTGGCCCGTGCTCGTTAGTAGAACATGAATACCATTCAGGTTGGCACCAGTAACCACTTTTGAACAATGCAATTTTGTCTATACAGGCGCACAAGTATTCCATCTAGCTTTTTAAACGATCCACAAACGGCTCCCGGTCACGTTTTTTCGCTTCATGGCCAAGCTCTTCGGGATGCTCCGAGTCAGAGCAGCACACACCCGACCGCGATCAACGCATTGCCCTGCTTGCAATACACCTCGTTGTTATTACTGCGCCGATCCATATTAGCCACCAGCCTGAAATAACGCCTTAATTATACGCACCAGTTCCCGGCGACGTTCACGACGTCGGTGCACTGCTGGCCGATGGGCCCGACGGGGACGGACGGCAGGCCGAGGAGCTGCTGTGCGAGCGCAGCGACGAGGTCGAAGTTGAGCGCGGACGACTGCACGGTCTGGCTGCAGCACATCGGCGCGGTCGACGAGCCGGAGCCGCCGTTTGGCGCGGCAGCGGTGAGGGCCTGGGGCAAATCAGAAGTGAGATGAGATGGAGAGAATGACGCACGGCGAAGAAGAGGACGACGAGCTTGGTGAACATGGCTGTTGCTTCAAGTTGAGAGTGGTGCGCGAAGATGGGTGGGACTAATGATGAACGACGAAGGACGTGCTGAATTTATAGGCTTCCCGGGCAGTCGACGGGAACGGATGCGCTCCAGGTGGCGCAAGAATTGTCTGTCTGTCTGTCGGGCGGCGTTGGTCTAGATGGAACTCCAAGTTGTGGAGCATTTCGGCACAACACTTTGGAGCTCAGTGAGCGTTCTCAAACTTGCAGTTTGGAGTCCTTACCAGGAGTCAGCTTCTCCAAGTAGGGCTTCAAGTTAGTATCGTAATGGACATCCGGACTCCGGAGCGCTCACGGCGCAGCTGCAAAAACGAGTGGAGTGGTCCTCAGCAAGCAATGCCAGCCTGGCAGTGGTCGAGTGGCAGCGATTGCGACGGGCCAGGAAGCGAAGTTGGCTTATGAGCTAGGACGAGATGACTTTTTGATCATCCTGTAAACAATTGAGCTCGAATGAAAAAAAAATCCGAGCAGTGGCGAGCGCCGTACCATGTCCCTCGGACAAAATCAAGCCTAAAATCGAAAGCCAACCCAGCGCGCCGACCCTTGTCCGCACAAGCGCATGCCGATGTTGTCGCCCGTTCGAGTTTCCACAGCGCCAACAACACCACGCAGCCTGCGTCGTGATCAAGTAAGTACACCTGCAAGTAATTCGGAAATACAGGACTGACGTAGTTGAGGGAAAGTGGACAGGCGTCACTGCGCCAGATGCAGGGACGCGTCGACGGGACTTGACAAGTGGGTACGGGAGAACTCCGAGTCGCCTGGAAGCAGAACGAGGGCTTGAAGGAGAAGTATCCGGAGGGGCAGAAGTTCCGAGCCGCTCAATGTGTTGGCGGGACGCAAAAGACGTGCTGACGCAATCACACATGACGTGTGATGTATGATCGTGATCTTCCCTCGCTTGCCGGGGATCAAAGACGCCGGGCTTTTGGTCAGAACCACCATCCCGCTCAGCCATAACGCTGCCCAACACGCTCCCCTTCCGCCTCGGCCGTGCCTTCGCATCCAACCCACACATGCCGCTGCCCGCCACAACCCGAGCACTCGTCATCCGCGAAAACGCGCCATATCATGACGCGGTTGTAGAGCGGCAGCCCCTGCGCGCGCTCAGGCCCGGCGAGGTTCTGGTCAAGATTGGTGCAGCGGCGCTGAATCACCGTGATGTGCGTTGCTTGTAGGTATCAAAGTCCGCTGACGGATATGGCAGGTCTGGATTCGGAAAGGCCTGTACCCCAAGATTGCCTTCGGGAGCACGTTCGGTTCAGATGGCGCTGGTGTGTCTGACGAACAGCAGGCGTTATATTTTTCTCATGGAAATGGTCAGGCACCGTCGTCGCCGCCGCGGACCCGCATGACGCTCTTTTGGGCCAGCGCGTCTTCCTCACGCCCATGCGCGGCTGGGAGAAGTCGCCAGCCGCACCGGAATCTGCGTGCGTGTCTTCAAGTTAGCCCGTTTTATGCTTTCTACTAAACACAGACAGCTTTGGCACTGTCGGCGGCACAGCTTACCCACCACTCGGCACCTTCGCTGAACACGTCATCGTCGAGCGGACCGAAGTCATCCGCACCCCCGTTCACCTTACAGACGTGCAAGCCGCCGCATGGCCACTCGCGGGCCTCACAGCTTGGCGGTCCGTCCCTTTCACCAATATAATATATTAATACCGCTCATTATCTACAGTGCACTCTCCCTCGGCGGCGTCCAGGCCGGCTCTACCGTGCTCATTACCGGAATTGGTGGGGGCGTTGCCCTCCTGGCCCTCCAGCTTTCCCTCGCACTCGGCGCACGTGTGTACGTCACCTCCTCCTCGCCCGCCAAAATCACGCGCGCCGCGGCTCTCGGCGCATCCGGCGGCGTGCTGTACACCGCGCCCAAGTGGGCCGCGGAGCTCGGCAAGCTGCTCGCCCGGGACGGCGTGACCGGCGGGGTCACCGTGGTGATTGACGGCGCGGGGAGCGAGATTATGCAGGCTGTGAGCCCTGTCCTCGCGCAGGGCGGGCGCGTGGTGTGTTATGGTATGACGGATATGAAGACGCCGCGGATCACAATGACGATGCGCGAGGTCATGCGCAACCAGCAGCTCATTGGTGCGCCGTTCTCCCATTCAAGTTCTCCATACGTCTGATCTTGATTGCTGTTAGGCTCGACGATGGGCTCGAAAGCGGAGCTTATTGCCGCCACTAGGCTGCTTGAGCAGAAGAAAATCGTGCCAGTTGTGGCAGCTGTTGTGGAGGGGCTAGAGAATGCCGAGCAGGGCTTTGTTATGATGGAGAAGGGTTCACAGTTTGGCAAGATTGTGGTCACTATCGGGGACAAAGATCAAACTGCAGCAGAGGCAAAACTGTAGTCAGTCACACAATTGGATCAACTTGATGGTGAGAACAAGGTCTGGGGTGTGAAGCAAGCAGTGGGTGCGGCAAGCATGTCAACACATTTGTCAAGAAAAGGATGCTGTGAGTTGATCTGGTTTGGAAACCAGTTAAACAGGTTTCTAAAAAACACTGTGAGCTTCTAATTTTTGAGGGAGGGGTGTGTTTGTAAAGTTTAAACAGGCTACAACCATGTGTGACATAATATCATGGTAAACACCATGTGTTTTTTTTCAAAAAAAACTGTTAGAAACACCTATATATATATATATGCATACTATGTTAGTGGATAACAACATGACTGCACATCAAACATAGCTGTATTTGATACTAATAGGTGTCTTATTGAAGTTTTGGAAGATATAAACTTTTCTTGGATAATAGGAAAAACAATTTCTGACTAGCATAAATGATCATAGCTTATGTTAGATCTAAAGCAAGCATTCCCATAAGTCCAACAACCTGAGATTCAAGTTCTGGAGCAGCATATAAGTTTAGCAACTGTGGAACTATTCCTGAAGATGCTGCCAGCTGAACTGAGTGGATTGTAGAGGGCCTGGCAGCCAGGAAGAGTGGTACAAGGTAAGCTGTTTCAGGCTGCTGAAGTAATCCTTCCCAGGTATTTTCAGATAACAACAATGCTTGATAGTTATCTAAGAAGCAGTTTTAGAGTATATCAAGGAAACTTTGGCTTCTAACCTTGTCCAGAGAAATACACTATCAGCTGGATAACATGTTGGACAACTGTTGCTCTTTTGTCATTCAATAATGTTGTTATGAGCTTGAGGCTGGATGCAGGTAAATTAAATTCACTGTATAAAGTAAGTGACATGTAGTTCTTGATATATATGCAGCACTTACTGGGGGACATTCTGCACAAGTTTCATATACTCTGCATATAGATTTTCTGGTCCTGTTGCCAGGCCAGAAAGCACATGATCTATAATGATTCCAAGGACAGTAGTGCTTCCTGATCCTACACCAAGATATTATATTAGTAGTACAACTAGCCATTGTTAGGGCCCACTTACCATGAGAAAGTATGATCTGAATGACTTTTAGAATCTGACTATCTATATGGGTACCATTTAGGCGTCCAAAGAGATACAGGAGTGCATCAGATGAGAGGAGTGTCTGTTTGCCAGCATCTATAAAGATATCAGAGCACTTCTGGGTAGCATGCAATTCCTGTACCAAAGTCAGAGAGTCTTTGAATACAATCAATAGCGACATCATGAAAGGCTGTATCTGTCTCAGTCACAAATTCACAGATGCGCTTGAATGCTGGAAGAGTCAAATAATTTGCAGTTTGATCTGGAGTTTGATGTTAAGTCCTCAACATACTTAGTAAGATTAAAAAATATACATACTCTGGGTTGCCAGTGATCTGAGGGTTTTTAATGATGAGAAGGCTATGTTATGATCCTTGTGCTCCAACAATTGGAAACATTTGCGAATGATTTTGGGTTGGCTCATTATATCTATCATATAAATCAACCAAATTATTGATTATCATAGACCAGGATTAACCTTTAGATGACATGGCCTTAATACAAGCCAGGGACCCCTCTTGTACTTGAAGATTGGAGTCATCTAATAGGATGAGTAGCTTGATATTTAGCTCATCAACAGGAAAATGAAGAATATCTATGTGATGTCTGAGTTTGGACTTTATCCTCAGATGAAAGTTTACCTGTGTCATAACATAATGACAGAAGCTCCAAGCCCCCAAGTTTCCTTGACTTATCTACACTCTCTAAGCAGTCCATAATGAGCTTGACACTATCTGTTTGATGAAGGAAATTTTTCATTTGGTCTAAACATAGTATAAGTTATTGCTTATGATTATAGAATAAATTACCATTTTTTAAAGCTGCTTTTGTAGCTTCAATCCATAAATCATATTCTGTACGGTTCCCCAAGTCAGATATAGCCTGTTCCAAAAATGTATGTTGAGTCCATCCAGTGGTTGGCTGCTTTTTGTGTGATGCATCACTTGGTGGAAATATTGATTCTAAAACCTTGTCCATTGCTTCAGATTCTCCTTTAGCTCCAAGTATCAATGCATTGATTATATCAGCTGTGATAAGCACTTCATGATATCCCTCTGCTCATCTTGAGTAGTCTACAATCATATGCAAAGATCTACATACCAATTTTCAGAAGTTTTGGAATAGAATCCATTGCTGTTTGTTGAACATCTGAGTATATATCCTGAAGTCCCTGCTGTATCATATTGATGATACTTTCTGAGTCTTTAATCTTGGTTCTAATAGAATCTGCCCATCATATCAGCATAGAAGTCCTCAAGGTGGTTAAGATATATACTTACCAATTAAAAGCAAGTCAACAACAGTACTAATAATAGTTTTCCGAACATCATTATCAGAGTCTTCAATTGATATAGCCAGAATTTGGATAGTTTCAAATATAGGAAACTGTAAATTATCCTTTTCTAAATGGAAAATGAGAAATTAAGGTGTGTCACTATAATTCATCACCTTGGTAGAGAATAGCGCCAATACAAGCTACAGCACTCATACGCACTCTCCAGGATGAGTCATTGAGATAATCTTTAAGTCCTGCTACAGTTCTGAAGTCTGCAACATCACCATCTAAACAGACAAATTAACACTTCACTCTAAAATATCAAACAAATTACCAAGAGTCCAAAGGTCTATCACTGTCCTAATTGCACGCATTTGTAACAATGCTTGACTAGAGTCCTTGGCCAGTGTTATTACATGAGAGAATACATCTGTGGCCTCCTGGCCAGTATATTCAGGGACTATCATGATACTTAGCATTATACTTAGCTAGATTATAGTACTTGCCTTCTTGTTTCATTACACTAACCAAGAAGGTCATTGCTGACTGACAAACACCGAAATTTGAATCTGCTAGGATTGCTTTCATTTGTTGTGGATCTAATATGGGCTTATGGGAATATATTCCTGTATATCATTAACAATTATAAATTTCTGTACAAGTATAATCATTAATACCTTTTTCTGTGGCAAACTGGAGACACTCGATCACTGCAGACCGTACATCTTCATCTCCATCTGTAAGAAGGCCTGTCAAAGTGGATAATGGCAATAATTTTTCCAGATCTTCAATAGATTGTGCTATAAGATCTTTAGTATAATTAAATAAAATCAACAAAATAATACCATGTTTGAAAATTTGATGTATAAATCGGACAGCATCTCGTCTTGTAGACCAGCTAACATCCTCAAGCTGCTTGATGAGCATTCCCACAATTGCAGAGCTTGCACAAAGCCTATACAGTATGCTTTGCTCTATATATTATTTAGTAATATACTTTATGGATGATATCACTAACCATTGATGAAAAGGGAAGCTATAAAATCAACCCCATTAGTATCATGATTCTGGATAATCTTTATGGTGTTCTCTTCAATTGTGGTGGTAGATATTTGGACCAAGAACTCTAAAAAGCATATCAGCACAGAACTAGCACAAAGTGGTTTGAATATAGACCATCAGTTAGCAGATGTCTGATTATCTTGGCTGCATGTTGAACATAGTAACTTGAGCCCAAACAAGTATCAGCTTCATTGTATGCGATACTCAGAAAGTCTTGCTGGACATCTATTCTGTAATAAGTATACATATTTGTTTGCCAAGTTGGAAGTTATACTTGTATCATTGAGAGTTTTCAGTGCTGTGATAATCAACTCCTCTATCTCACTGTCCACTGTTCTGGCTGTTTTGAAAAAATGAGATAATGAATCCTTGTTGAGAACACTTTGTCTCATGCCTAAGAATGTTCAGTAATTAAAATAATGACTATATATCTATCTTACCATAGTTGAAGACTGAGCTGATGCAACGGACAGCCAACCTTCTTTTATCATTGAGACCAGCACCTGAATTGACATTTTCATCTGGTTGCTCCTCATCAAATAGACAGATCAGGTGTTTTTCAAGCTCTGTTCCAAGAAGCAGTCCACATATTTCCTCTATAATGTAATATTAGAGTATTAAATTATGAGATTTAAATATTAATTATCTCACCTCGTTCAAAGAGTTTTTGGATAATCTCTGTGACCTGCTCTCTATTGGAGTAATAGATCCCAGCAAGGACAAGGATCCTGACATTTTCTATAGTACAAACTCGAGTAAAGAAGTCATCTGTAATAAGTGAGTTTATACAAGAAGTAGAATATAATACTACTTACAATCATTATCTGAAAATTTGAAGATGCATTCAAGTGCTAGAGCTGCACTCTCAAAAACATTGGTCTGAACCAACTGAAGAAGGCTTTGTAGAAGGTGTTGCTGTGGCACATCAGAGCAGAATGTTGCTATTTGTTCAGGTTGGACATTAGACATAATCATACCAGGGGCTATACCACTGACCATCAGTTATTATAAGCTTAACTATAGCCTGCTGCACAGATGATGAGTGACTATGTGTAAGAACATTGAATAATGTTGATGACAGTTCTTTTGTCTGAGTGTCATTCAAATCCCTAATGTTTGATGCCTGTAGAAGTTGCAATACTGAGAGCTGTATGGTATCATTGGAGGAGTGAAGGAGCTGAGGTAGATATTGTAGTAATTTCTGTGAAAAAGCTGTTTTGCCTAAATATACCAATGAGAGTAAATCAAATTACTAAACAATTCAAACAAACCTTCAAGTGTTAACCACTTGAGTATTTGTTCTGCCTGACGCTCTAGTTTTGGCTTTCCTAACTCTTGCATCCATTTGGGTATTGTCCGCTGCTCTAGTGACCAGTTACTATAGGCTAGCCGGGTGAACAAATAGCGTAAACATTTCTCAGAGCATGTGCGGGCCATATAGGGAATTTGCACAGAGAATAATTGGGCATTTTGCTTGACCAACTCCTTTCCACTTAAAAAGTAGATAATTGCAGCTTTAAGACACATTGCTGGAGCTTGAACCTGCAATGGAAGCCAGGCAATATGTACCAAGGGTCCAACACCAATCACAAGTCTTTTGAGAGCATCTCTTGCTGCTGATGATGCAGGAGCTTCATCAGGAGCTGTCTGGACCAAATGGAGCAGTGCATACAGCAGATGCTGTAGTGAGTCAGAGGAAGGCTTTGTTCCTGCTGGTACATCAGCAATCTCATCAATAAGCTGGGTAGAAAGCATGGCTGTGGTTGTTCCATGATAAAGTTCATGCTGGACAGATTTGCTGAATGGTAGTCCAGCAATTGCTCTGATTGTTGCCTGTGTTGTTTCCAGAGGTACTGGCTGGGCAAGCAGCCAGGCCAAAGCTTGAGCTTTGCGTGCTCATCATCCTCCTCGGGAGAGGCAAGCAGTTTGATGGTCCGGGGCTTGCGACCTAGGACATAGCGCTGCAGAAGGCCAGACAGGGGTGTCCTATATGGAGAATCTGGATAGATGGCAGAGAAGACAATATTTCCCACATAAAGTATGGCTACTATGGATGTCAAGGCCAATGTCAGAATGCCAATGCTTTTGTCATCCTGAAATAAAATAATAACAAGCCCAGCACCAAAGAGGAAGAATGCCACATGGAGAAAGAAGGGGAGAGACTGGACAAATGCTGCAAAGTGCCAGCGCTGAATGCCCCTCAGACGGCGACAATGAGCAGAAGCATTGCTCCAGCTAGACCCTGAGAGCTTTGCTAGCTGAGTGACCCATGATTTTGCAGCACTGGCACCTAGAGCACTGAGAAGACTGAATGTCAGGCTTGTGAACCACAGAGCATTGACAAAGCGGGTTGAGGGTGTAGGGCTAAAAGGCTCTGTAGGAGGAATGATACTGGAGGCATTGGCCTGAACCTGTATCAAGTTTTTCAGCAGAGTATTGGTAACACTTTGCAGGTCTTCCTCTAGGCCTCTTCTGACTTCAATCAAGAAGGCTGAAAGAATTGCAGAGAATAAGCCTGCCTACACACCCTCCTTGTAAATAGTGCGTGATTAACAAATAAATACTTACAAAAATGAGGAGGGAGTCCAAATCACTATTGAAAGTCTCTGCCAGTGATTTGTCAAAGTTCTGAGCAATATCCATGTACAATTTCCAGATTTGGGCATGCTCACGGCATGACCGCCGAAATGGACTATTATCAGCTAAGAAGTATGAATATTAAGTATTCAAATGTCCATAGTTAGCCTTTTACTTACCATCTGGTAAACCCACAGCAAGGTATGCCAAACTTGCAGTTGTGCCCACCAAGCTACTGACAGCAGCACCGGAATCCAAAGGGGGCAGTAACTATCACGCCAGGTTTTATCAATCACTTAGCCTTCAAAAAAAAAAAAAAAACTCACTTCATTCCAATGAGCCTGATCTGGTCGATGCGGCCGACTTCCTGAATAGATACCGTGTAAACTTGACCCAGCATCATCATCAAAACAATACACACCTTCGGAGTCGTCAATTGCAAGGGACTGAAATGCAAGGTTTGCTGTCGCGCCGACCAACGAAGCGACGCTCGGCCCGACAGGCAGGCGAAGCTGCATGCTTCGATTACCCGGTGTAGATATCAAAATTGGGTTATAAACACACCTGTTTCTCCTCCGTCTGCGGTCTGGCGCCGGGGCGCAACAGCGGGTCCGCTGCATCTCTCACGTTCAGCCAGATCAGAAGGCGGTTCCAGAGACCCGCGTGGAGCTGTCTGAGGCGGCCGCCGGGGTTACGGTGAGCAGCGGCTCCATTTGCAGTCGTGGTCCCAGGCTGCGATTCCATGTCCGGCGTGGGCGGACGCTAACATGACCATGAGCATGTGAGAATTGAAACAAAATAGGTGCATTTGGCGCACCTGAACGGAGATGGTGGGCGGAGGAGCGAGAGTGCTAGCAGGTTCAGGTTGTGCCATTCGATTCACAGTCCCTCTGGTGGTGGGGGGAAACAAGAAGCGCGTTCAGCTAGACTGGCGATCGGACCCCCGCGGCCACGGCGCTAAGGCGTGTCAATGATAGCGAGCTTAGCGCTGGGGAAGAGTGGCCGATCGACAGCGGGCTGGCAGTCAGCATGTGCCGGCGCGCGGAAGACGGGCGCCTATCCTGCGTCATTACGGCCATTCTTGGAAGTCTTGCCCCGGAACTGTGGTATGGAGAGACGCGCAGTTATGGGCCTGCTTCGCCGATTGGGACACGCAGCAGGTCCATTTTTGCTTGTGGACCAGGATTTGTAAATTATTCTTCGATTGCGGCGAGAAAGTGATTCCACGGAGTGGAGTCACCAAGAACGGGGACGCTCGCTCGCAAGAATGACAGGAATCCTGGACGTTTGCAACCGGGCTCAAGGCATCTAGTGCATGTTTTAGTGCGCCGTTGAGCCATGCCGCCCCGCGATGTTTTGACAAGAACGTTGCGGAACGCGGTAGCTGCGTTTGTCACATCGAAAGTTCTTGAATTGAGACAGCAACAAGAGGGGCACGGAAGACATATACGTGTTGGACCGACTTCGATGCGCCGAAAATCTAGCCGGCGGCGCACTGTCTGTAACATTGTCAATACTGTAGTCGCTGTGCCATCAGTGAATGATCTCGACGAGCTTTTGTACACAGCACGCTGGTCACTACACGAACGAGAAATTCGAAATGCAACCAAGTCATCAGACAGATATAATTAGTTGACTTATTCCGCCATTGAGACACACAAGTCCTGGAAATATCGTGTCAGCACCCGCCCAGAAACGACAAAGAAAATCGGCACCGGTGATTAGCATACGTCCCTGCCTGCGGTCCAATCGCTGCCATCTCTCCAGCGACGTGAGCGAATATTCTTGACGAGAATCCGTGGTCTTTGTCGCCGCTGAGCAACCCATGGACAGAGAGACTTTGAGACGAACGACATCACTACACACCGAATCCGAGGGTATCATTTAACTTATTCCGCTATTGTAACACAAGTCCTGGAAATAATCATGTCAGCATCCACTTGGGCACAACAAGCGAAAACGAGCGCACCGTTAGTCAGTACATACGTGCCCGCTGCCCGCGGACCGGAGTTAGCCACGCTACTCGAGCTTCTCCAGCGCCTCCAGCCGCGCCAACACGACGTCCTTGCTCGTCTCCTCGATCTCCCCCGCGAGGAATACCTCGTCCAGTATCGCATACACCTGCCGTCCATCATCCTCCCAAGTGACTCACAACAACAAGTACACGCACCTTGTAGAAGTTGAACACGAGATCCAGCTCGCACACGTTATCGAAGAACGTGTCTGTCGCCGGGCCTGTCAGCTCGCAAAGCGGACGGTGACGGCCATGGAGACGCACCGAGGACCTCGACGAAGAAGTGGATCGCCTCGAGGTGCGCGAGCTCGTTGTCGTTCGCGTCGACGCAGACGCAGAAGAAGAGCCCCGCGTACCGCCGGTACACGATTTTGTAGTTCCGGAACTGACGGGCGGTGAGACATGAGCCATGGGCAGAGGCGGGCGAGGGATAGACGGGAAAGACAAGCGGAGGGACGGAGCAGAGTGGGGAAGTGGCAGGAAGGAAGGCAAGCCACGCACCTCGACAAAGTTGCTCTGGTACTTCTGGTCACGCGGCGCAACGAGTCGGTGTACCTCGCCCCTCAACCTGACCTGCACACCCATTCCCGCCCTGCATTAGTCCGCGCCTGTCGCTGACCGTGTGGTCGAAGCGCACCTTCTCGTCGTCGTCATACGGCACATACCATTTCGACAGCCGCGTCTTGCCCTGCCGGTTCTGCATGCAGTCAGCGGTAGAAGTCAAAGGGCAGTGAAGGACGGGACGGACCTGGACGAGGATGAAGCGGATCATGGAGGAGGTGGCCGAGGAATAAGAAGGAAAGAGTGTGACGTGTGACTTCTGACAGTGATCCGGCGGTTATGTAGCTTCAGTCATCTCACCCGCTCCGAACGACAACGAGACGATGGGCGCGGGCGCCGCGCGCGCGGCGAGCAACGCAGAAATCCTGCGCAAAGCGTCTGGCGACTCCTCTTCCCTCTTCTTGCTTCCATGGTGCCCGCCGACATTGTCTTGCAGCTCTTGCTGGTGTGGGCCCTGTTCTCGCTGTCATTTCAGGCGAGTTCTCTCCTCCGTAATCGTCAAATGGCGCTCAACCGCTTCCAGGCCCGTGCGTGCTCCGGCCCCGCTGACGCCCGTCCGCTCTACCGCAAGTACAAGGCGGCCGGGTACGACCACATGTACACTGTGAGCATTCTTTTCGCGTTCTTTCCGCCCACTTACTAGTAGGTATCTCGCAGACCGACCTGGGCGAGTACAATGCGAACAACGGGTGGACGCAGGAGGGCGTCCGCGCGCTGGTGTTCACGACGCAGGTCCCGGGGAGCGTGAAGCTCTACCGTTTATGGAGCGGGGTTGCAAGTGCGTTCTCGTCCGAGTTTCCCCTCCCTTTAATCTGCTCACACAGAGTACCCGCAGTTGACCATCTCTACACAACCGACAAGTCTGAGGGTGACAAGGCCACGCAGACCGGCGGCTACGTCTACGAGGACGCGGCGCTCTACGTGTACCCGTCCGCGCAGTGCGGCGCTGTCCCGCTGTACCGGCTTTACCTCGGCGGCGACGGCAAGGACCACTTCTACACCGCCGACCCCGCCGAGCGCGACCAGGCCGTGGGGCTCGGATACAAATACGAGTGGGTCGCGGGGTATGTCTTTCCAAAGGATGCCGCCCAGCAGCAGCAGCAACAACAGACAACAACCAAGGTCAGCACCCCTCCGCCGGGTGAGCCCGGGCCAGGGCCCCCCCCGCAACCGCCGGCTGACCCGCCGACACAGGGCCAGCCTGATCCCGGCGCGCCGCCGGCACAGCCTTCCCGCACCAACAACGGTACTCCCAACGCGGGCTCCAATCCCCCAACGGCGGGCGGGTCCGGCGGGACAACCCTGGCAGCGAGCGGCGGCCCCGGGCTACTGACGTACACCGGTTCGGTGCTACCCGCAGCGACGTCGCTACTTCCCAGTGGGCAGAACACGAACGCCAATGGAGACAACCAGAAAAAAATTGGGAGTGGGGTGAGTGGGGGTGGGCTTATAGCGCTGAGTTTGCTTGAGATTGTATACTTAATTGCATGAGGAGTCACGTATCACTGGCACAGTTGCGGCGGACGCGGGTTCGAGCCCAGGGTGTGTCCGGAAACAAAAGTTGTCTTCCAGATTTTTGCACATTGTCACGATTGTGCGCGCGTCCCGGAATCGTGGGTAGTGTGATGATGATCATTGTTCCGTTGCTGCAGAGCCTTGTATGGGTATTTTTACTTAAGTACTTGATGCTGCGGCGGGGGTGTGGGTGAGTGTTCAGAAATATGAAAATGTCATCCAACACAAGCCTTGCACTATGTTACATATTTGTGCTGATCTATCATAGGTCTCAAGTACATGAATTGGAGACTTGATATGATAATAGTGGTTAGTAGATTTCTAGTGTGCAGAGAGGTCAGGTCAAAAGATTGGCTATATTTTAATGTCTTATGGGGCGGCATTGGGGCCGGATGAACAATATAATTATATCAATCTGTAAATTATCTGTTGCGATATGTGGGTTGAGATACACAACTGATATGCAGATCAATGTACTATACTGTTCATTCTCCTTAGGGACCCTATAACCTTGGCCGCCATTTCCTATTTGTTGGAACAGGACAGCTCGGGGAGACTCGCTCGGGACAGCCAAGTTGGGGCAGGAGATGACGGGAAGAATCTGGGTTCATAGGAGGCTATACACAGGTTATATATACCCTACATAGGGGCTATGGCTGGGCAGTGACCAGCGAACAACGCGACGCGGTCCACATTTCAACACTCCCACTGAGCGCGACGCGCTGTGAGCTCCTCATATTCCACATGCATACTCAGCTCCCACTGATGCAAAGCTCCACCACCCAGGACTGCAGTATACCAAGTTGACGGCGGGGCCGGGAGCAAAGCGAGGGTTCGATTCCAGTCCATCGAGAGATTTATCATATCCGGTGCCATATGCGAACTCCAGTCGCTTTCGAGTCGGTCGGGACGTACGGCATGCTCGGCGCATCCGCAGTGGTCAGTTCGGGTACAGGGCCCATCGCAATCCCTCGGCGGGTCGATGGGTACAGGGGGAAACAATTCCAAGACGGGGACTTGCGGCGCTACCGGTGCCGGAGAGGTCCGGCCGAAAGATCCGGGTTCCGGGGGGTGCCTTGCAGCATTACCGGGTTCGAGCGGGGTATCGGGGGTCCAAGAGCGATCAGACGGCGTATGATTGGCAGGTGAAACAATGGCCGGGGATGGGCAGGTCAGGGTCCATTGGCTAGGGACGGCAACAGGGACGGTGAGGCGGCTGCCCGAACGCGGGGTTACGCGGGAGATAGCCAACGAGGCCGGGGGGGAATACAGGGCTTGCGGGTGGCGTGGCAGCGCAGTAGGCCGAGACATACTCGGGCCGGGATAGAGGTCATCGAAGCCATTGCCATCAGGGGCTCCAGCAATGGCGGGGTACAAGGGCCGGTGACTAGTGGCGGGGGTTACAGGAGCGGCGCAGGCAGGGTTATCGAGGCTTTCGGGGCCCATAACCTGTTGGAACAGGACAGCTCGGGGAGACTCGCTCGGGACAGCCAAGTTGGGGCAGGAGATGACGGGAAGAATCTGGGTTCATAGGAGGCTATACACAGGTTATATATACCCTACATAGGGGCTATGGCTGGGCAGTGACCAGCGAACAACGCGACGCGGTCCACATTTCAACACTATTATCAAGTCCTAGCAGATCTACACCAAGGAGTTTAAACTCCCCAGCTTAGCGTACCCACCAACTCCTGGCAATGTCTCTCCTGCACAGATTTAAATTAGATACGGCCCAAAGATTCAGAAAGCAAATACTAACTCATGTGTGGGCCATTCCAGGCCATCAAATGTTAGTGCATAAAGGTTGGGAATCATGATCTCAGCAGTGGGCATGAATGAAGCAAAAAAATCATCCCATTACCAATTAGTTTGTTACTTCTCCCATGGTTACTGAAATCTTTGAGTTAGTGCAACTAGATAGAAAGGGGTATCAACCTACTCAATAGGCTAGTAACCCATGGAGATAGAGGCCCATCAGGAATATATTAGTCAGTGATTGAACAGTTTTAATACAGTTATTAAGCTATAACCATAGCTCACTTAATGAAAATTGCATATATAGTAAAAATGTACAACTTTGATTTGTGACGATCTGTGACATTCTCTGATCATGCTGCTGTTCAACTGCAAAAATTTCCTTTCTGGGAACTATGTCATACTTGTGACCTCATATCACATTACATAACAGAGTGTATGGGCTTGGTAGGATATGTGGAAACTATAGGTGATAGATTATCATCAAGTTACTAGCCTTAAGTATCAGCTGTGTCACAAATGTCACACTGACCTTGTGCGATAGGACAAGAAATGACTTAGAGCCTGGGGCCTCAGAAATATTGCAGTTTTATTGCCCCTTTATTGCAGCATAGGGAGTTTTGAGACATCTCTTCTAATTAGAATGGGCACCCAAGCACGCTGTCCATTCTAATTAGAAGGGATAATTGGGATTAACAGGTGCAACTTTTTATTGATGGGGACCGAATGCATAGAGTCCATTCCACCCCATTCCATCCCATTTGGCGCCCCCGCGTTCTCACTGGGCCTAAGGAGCGACACCAGAGGCCGGGGAAGTGATGCATCACGACTGACAATCTCCCAAGATGTCATGAAGCTTCTCGGCTGGTGATTGCTGATGCTGTCAAGAACTGTGAGACTCAAAATATACTGTTTTTTTACTTGGTTAGGGTTCGGTTAGGGTTAGGTTAGGTTGGTTTGTGTTTAGGTAGGGTTGGTTAGTGTTTGGTGAGGGTTTGGGCGAGGGAAAAGGTACATTTGATATGCTGTTGGGGGACCTCTGGTAAGCTACCAATAACGAAGCTTCATGACAGCTCTGGGAATAATGAGCGCGGTGCTGCGAGGGAAAGAGAAAAGAGCACAGTCAGAGGCATTATGGCCATTTGATCAGCGAACCCTGACCCGGTGCCCGCATTGTTGCTGGCTGCTCATTGTCCGCGATGCCCTGGAGTCCGTGCCTCTGCTCGGGCTGAAAAGAGCAGTCTCTTGGGTTGGGCCAGTGGGTGGTTGAAGGACAATGGAAAGACATGCTCCTCCAGGCCTGCTGTGGGTCGAGGCTCAAATCGGGGCCAGCCACTGGTGGTTCAAACCCGCGGCAAGTCTCGATAGTTGAACTTAACTATAGCAGATCTCCTTTTTGACCTTGCAAACGTCCGCGCTTGGCACACATTCATTTTTGGATGGAATTCGTGTCATGGGGGTGCCGGAACGCTGGCGACTGATGGAGTTAGGTATCCTGCATTCCCAGCTGCGGCGTTGGGCAAGCAGTGGTGTCAGTGGTTGCCAGGAGCATTTGCTCGCTTGCCTGCCGGCGGATCAACAAGGGAAGGGACGCCAAGGTCAGGTGCCAGTGATATTCATAAGCCCTTAATTTGGGGCTCTAAAATCGATTAAGTCTTAAGTAAGCCTTAAGCCCTTAAATAAGCCATAGGGCTTAAGCACTTAATTGCCTAAAAAGGAATTTTTTCAGACAGCCCTCTGCAGCTACAGCTAATAATCTACCACAATTAGGTTGACATCATGCTCTCCCCTCCCCACATACGAGCTGGAACTATCAAATTATCATCCCATTTGATCCATTAGCGGGCTGAATCTAAGATGATACTTTTGGCTTCTATTTAAGGTAAGTACTGAGAAGCGAGACAACTGATATTTACCCAGGTTGTAGCGCATTATGATTGCACTGAAAGACAGTGGTATCCTTGGGCACTGACTATCCATGCCTCAGCCAAGTCTTGGCCCAGTCAACAGCCTGGTTGACCCGTCGCTAGTCAGTTCACCATAGTAAGGCATCTCAGTTGTCTTAAAATAGTTTGTGTGATGTGACATGTGACATTAAGCCCTTAAGGCAAGTACCAATTAAGCCTTAATGTAAGCCCTTATGTAAGGGCTTATGACTTAAGGCCTTAAGCCTTATGAACATCACTGTCAGGTGCACTGTGAGTTCCGAGCTGTTAGCCTGAGTGCTATATGGAGAACGAGCAACAACACACACCTCTGGACGGACTGGACCAGCGCATGATGGTGGCAGCAGCAGCAGAGGCGGAGACAGAGCTTCAGATGGTCGTCCCCCACGACTACGCCCGCGTCCAGTCCTGATGTCCCGTAGAAAGAAAAAGGCTGGTAGGTATTGGCCTGCATAGGTGCTGAAATTTTACTGACGATTAGGAATTTCCTTTTCAGGTAGTTTACGATTAGATAGAGCTGGACTTACATACTTGAGTAAATGTCTAGGACTTACTGCAGCATATGTAGCAGCCACTGACTTAGAAGTTACTATGTCATATAGCTAGAAATCATTGCAGTTTTCTTGCGGCATAAGTACTCTAGTTGCAGCTTAAGGCTTCTTGTCTTGTAGTAAATATAGCATAGGCATAATAGTTGCAGCATAGACACTTAGGTTCAGTATCATCTTATGCTGTGGAGTTATTGCAGTTATAGAAGATTTATTGTGAGCTTTACTGTAGCATAGGCATTTTCATATGTTCCCTTCTAATTAGAATGAAGACCCCAGTGGGCTCTTCATTCTAATTAGAGTAGATAATTGGGCTTAGCAGGTGCTGGGGCCAGCCCGGCGACCTCGCCTCCAAGCTCCCGGCCAACGTTCGGTGTGCTTGCGACTGGTGCAGTCGCTCGCACTGTCATTGCAATTCGTGGGGCCCATTTTGTGGCCGCTTACAAGGCCAAGTTGCGCGGGTCACCGTGGCATTTCGAGTTTTGGGAGTGTACGGACGAGGAGGGTGTATATGCCTTGTTAGAGATAGACTCGTGGTTCGTGGACCTCCAAGTGGTGTCGGAGAATTTCCTCCACCGGCGTTTCTGCTTCCGCTTTCTGCCCCGTTCCAACACCCTTCGGGCGCAACATCGGCGTCGTTCGGAAGACCGGGGCCACTCTACTCGCCCCAACGTCCGGAACCGACATGCGGGTCGTCACCCGTCTCCGCGGCGTCCCCGGGCTTTGTCACGGGGTCCCCGGACCGGGCCCGCGCGTCGGCGTTCCTGCTCCCCTTCTCCTCGGCGGTCGGCCTCCCCGATCCATCGGCCAGTGCCACCTCCTCGCACACGATCTCCCGTGCCTCCCCGTTCCGTCCCGATTACTCCTGCCCGGCCCTACTGGGCCGCGTAGAGACGCGGGCCGCCCCGAGGTGGGGGCCAGTTCGGGTCGTGCGGTCCCCTCGACAATGGGCGACATGCCTTTCCGCCCGGAGAATTACCCGGATGTACTGCTCTGGTTCGGCGAGCCGTCGCCGGTTCGGGCCACCACCGAGGCGCACCGATTGTTGGACGACCCGGAGTGGCCCAATCGTGCCGGTTCTCCGCCGTGGGGGTGACGCTTCTGCACCAGTTGCTCACTCGGCCCCAGGATAACCCTCTATCCCTCGGCGTTTTGCGGTCGATCCGGTCCGAAACTCGCATGCTGATGCAGCCAGCGGATTTCGAACTAATGGATTACCTGGGTCATCGGTTCTCCGCTGCTCAAATGGTGGAGCTGTATACTCGGGTGAGGAGTGTCTTCGGTGCCGTTGATGACTCGGGATCGACCCGGCTCGGCTTGTGGGAGCAGAGGGCCGACGCGGATCGTCGCCAGGCCGGTCGCTCGGGCCCCGTTCCTGGGGGTACTCGGCCTGGGTCGGGGTCGCAACGTTCTCCCCCATCGGGTCCTTCGGCCACCCCATATGCCACCTTCTATGCAAAAGATGTGGGCTGAGGCCCGGGACACCATTGCAAAAGATGTGGGCAACCATATATAGTACCCTGCGGCAGCCCGGAAAATGCACCGATTGATGCAATCATTAGGTTTTCATCCTCACATCATCGCGCCGGACATCGCCGAACACTGCCGATCCTGCTGGCGCATGCCGTCCCGGACCTTTCCACGAAAATATTCAATCGTGATGGAAATCCATCAAAAATTGATGAAAAATTGATGAAATTTTTTGGTACATTTGATACGCTACCAGTCGTCAATCTTGCCCGTAAGTAACAGCTCCTCATCGCTTATATTCCCTTGGTCGTCGCTTTCATCCCGCTCAATGATGCCATCAACTTCCGCATCCTCTACTTCCGATAGCGCCGGGCTTTCAGCAGGTAGTCCGATTGGCCGCCCCTCCCGCTGTGTTGGGCGCCGCACGCCTTTCCCGAGCTTGGGCTGCGTTCGTATAACCTCTGCCCTTCGAGCCAGGTCGTAGTACATGTCCACGTGCTTGAGGGCATACACAATCATTCCTTCTGCATCTGCAGTAGGAATCGACCCGACAGGAACGCTAGTGGCCCTCTTCTTCCATACCCGCTCCTCGTGAGCAAATGACTCGGGCAATCGACGCCATTCTTCCCGCAACAGCATGACCTCCTTGTTCCATCGTCGCACTCGCGCGTATGCTTTCACCCATTCAATTTGGAGAGCTATAATGATTCAGACTTAAAGTGAAAGAATGGAACTAAAGCTTTACCTTCTTCCACCTCTATATCCGAGCCTGTCATACCAGCAGTCGTCCAGATCCAAGAGATAACCCTCCGACTCTCACCAGACAGAATCGCAGTGCCTCTAGGAGCCCGCATATTCTTGGTTGAGAACTTTTTTTTGAAGGTGCTGAAATCGACACCAATTCATCATCTTCATCCGATTCTTTGTCGTTTTGCACACGATGGATATTCAACGGAATGATGCCAGCTCCACGCATTTCTTTCTCGTCCCAGGCACGACGGGCCTCGGCTCTTTCGCCTCTGACTTGCTTCTTGACAAGCTCCTCTGAATCCTCGAGACACCTGATGTCTTCCTTGCGCAGCCTCCGCCACCCCACATTTGATTCTATCCCACCCGCAATGAGAACCAACGCCAGCCATGCAGCCTGGTATTTTTGAGAGAAGAAGAGGACCTTATTCTCGTTCCGCGCGACAAGCGATCTGGAACGCGTGTTCATCGTCTGATTTCGGGAGTGGTTGGCCTTGTACAGCAGGAGCCGGTATTTGACGAGCAATTGGTTGCGCAATCCCACAAGCGCGGCCCAACACTGAGCTTCACGCATACCCTGCTCAATCTCGACCAGACCCTCCAGACAGCCCCCATTTTCTCGCTCCATCTTTGTCAATGCTGAAGGGGGTAGCAAGGGAACCTTCTCAGGGAGCAAATCTTCCGCAACCTCCAGTTCCTTGAGCTTCTGCAACGCAGCCGGAATATAGGTAGCTTGTAGCTGCCGGACCTTGAGAATCCGTTTGTTGAGGGCTCGTCGAAGGGGCCGAAGATTGATCTTCATGGTGGTTGATTTAGCTTTTTTTAAGTTCGGCCAGCCCAGCGACGCGACGTCTGTAGTCAAGTTTAGAAAGTGTTATCATGAGCATGACTTCCTACTCACTGTTCGCTTTCGACCTCGAGTAAATCCACCACAAAGTTGACTGGGCTGATTTCGTGAATACGTCGCCGGCCTGTCGAAGCTTGCGTCTCCTCTACCTCCAATCGTTCTCGCACTTGTGCCTCGGTAAGCCCTAGGGATATGAATAAGCAAGTTGTTAATTTCAATGTCGAAGAACATACCCTGGACTTTGCTTTCATAAGGATTAGGTTTTGTACCATCGGCTTTGTACTCATGCACCATGGCTTTCCAAATAGGGACACGCTCGGCTTGATCGAGCAAGAATTCGGTCAAAAGCCGCTTGCTGAACACTTAATTCGTGTAAAGCAGTATCAAGACGTCGCCGCAGAAGGGAAGCTAATGTCTGAAGGTCAGTATGAGGCAGGTATAATAGTAGGAAAGAAATGGCTGACGTAGAGTCAAAAGCTTCGACCAGTTCCAAAAACCCCAATGATCATCTAGTGTATCGGCTCTGGCACCTGGTCCGCTGACTCTGGTGCTAGCAGCTACTCCCCCAATCATACTCCACGGTCGTTCAATCCCCTCTCCATCCGTTTGTCCTCCGCCCAGCGTATAGTTGAGAGAGTAGAGCAGTTGACAAGTTGTCGTATGGCCGAGTATGTGGAGTTTTGGAACGACAAAGATGAACAGCTTCATGAAAACTTCTTGCACCAGCAGAAGACAAAGCATTGGGGGTAATTTCCGAAGACGTTCAAAGAGGTTCTTCCACCATTGACATGCGATGTCATAGGATATGAGTTTTCGGAGCAGCAGATGGAGGTGTCTCAAGATACACCCAAAAATATAGTCCATATTCCCGAACCTGAAACAGGGAGTTAGCTCGTTGAGAGAAAGTGCTAAAACGGCAATACCGTTCGCCAGCTTGGAGATCTCCCACACCTGTTGGCTGAACGAACTCGTGTCGAGCGCAAACTCCCATGCCGACCCCAGTTACACTGTAACCCCGAGAAAATTTCGAATTTGCATAATCCAGAGCCGCCAGTCCAGTGCACGTACTGATCTGACTCAAATCGTTAGCTGACTTCATCGTTAATGTGCTGAAATCAACACCATACCTCTTGCTGATCGCCGACTTGAAGCAAATATTTCTTGTACGGCTCCCATTCAACCATGTACGCCCAACCGTTGCTCAAAGCCGGATCCCTTATCTCGTTGGAGATGGCCCGCTGTTTCAGGCGAAAACATGCATCCATGGCCAAAAAGAAGACGTATAGACCACTAAAAAGGGAGCTTATTAGTTCGAGAAAGATTTCACGATGATCAACTCGCGTTTGCGTAGAGGGAGCATTCTGCCAGTCATCAGGCAAGTTGATGCCGGGACGAGGGCAAGCAGGACAGCGAATGGCAAGTTCGCCTGGTGTTGTACCCAACACACCTCTTGAATCGTATCCACGGCCTCCACGCTTGAGAGATAACAAGTGGCGGTATTCACGCCACGATTCGGAGGAATCTTTGATAACGATCTGGGGGCTTGACACCCACAGAATTTGTGAGTGTCTCCAACGAGCGATAGAAATCCCAGCCGGTGATCTTCCCATGTAGGGTCAAGCTGTGGTACCGCTCGAGACATTGCAGTGTCGCACAAGTTCTCGGAATCTCTGTCGTTGCTGAATACAGGCCAGCCCGTAGTAATTGGACGTGATAGGTGTCCGTCGACTGGCGGCAGCCACAATAGTCCACAGAAACTTCGTGAATTCCATTATCATGCAAGACGACAAAGTCATCGCGCGCTGGAATCGGTCGGTCGCAAAGTTTAGGCCAAACGTGGCCAACCTGGATCCGTAGGCCGAGACTTTTGAGCATGCAAGTTTGAAAATAGATTCCATTCCATCCCTACGATACCATAAATTCAGTCGGGGAAGTTCTCGTTGGCAGATATTGGGCACTCACTTCGATTGAATGGAAAGGCTGTTGAGCGTGGTTTTTTAGCAGGTGCCAAAGGTCGGAATGGGCAATCTCCAGAAAGGATGAGGTCCTGAAAAATGTCATTCATCATTGTCTGGGAACGTCGCAGGGGAGTTTCTCAGGCCGAAATACATCACTAAGGGCTCAAACAGGCCTTGGTTAGTCCAGAAGGCCACTTTCCACTCATCAACTTCTTTGATCCGGACATTGTTGTTGAAGTTGAAGTCATATCCGCTTACCATACTTGCACATGACCGCTTGGTAATAACCAATGCGCTTGGTAAGGACTCAATACTCGCTCAGTCATCCTCTACCTTTACTTACTCATCGTACTTATAAATCGTAGTCAACATAGTGTAGTCAGCATAGCTAGCCTGAGTATATATACTAAGTCGTCTAGCTCGTCGTCTCTCCAGTCCTGTTGTTATTGTCAGGGCAACCTCCCTTTCGGCCTGGAGACGCGTCCGATTCCGGTCCGATTCCGGTTCCGACTCTGGTCCGGCCCTCCCTCGCCTGCACAATCACCGATCCGTCAACGCCCTCCCGACAGTCGCCCTGGGACCTCGCCTGCGACGCCGCCCAAGCCTTCTGTGCCCGACAGCGGCAGCTACGGACAAGCAGTATATAGTCAGCTCCCTAGCAGGCGGACCCTTAGAGTTTCTTCTCTTTGGATCCTCCCCTGCTAGGACCTTGATCTCAGGCCCCCGGGGTTGCCCTTACAGTTATTCACACAGTTCTGGTGAGTTACTTACATGCTTTCCTCTATCTTACATATGCTTATGACTCTATGTAGATATCGTCTTGTCAGGTATACTGTAGTATTTCGATCAATTAGGCATGTCACGGTCACAGGGCCTTTTTTGCTGAAATATTTCGGCGGGTCACGGGTCACAGCGAAATTCTAAAGTGTCCAAATATGGTAGTTTTCCAAAATTTTCGCGCCTCCGGCGCGCTGAACTTTCATATAAGGAAGGCTGTCACAGTGAATTCGGCCGAATTTTCAGGTTCCCCAAAAGGTGTTACAGCAAAATGGCCGGCCGAATTGATTGAAATACTACAGCATACTCAATCCAGTCCTGTTGTTATTCACACAGTTCTGATATCGTCTTGTCAATTGTTGATGCCCCAATGAACATCGAGTTTGAGCTGGTTGATGAGGTTGTTGATCAACAGAAGGGGATACCAGTTTTTGACGGTCATCGCAATGAGAGCCCAATAGTCCTGGACGAAGCGGACTTGCCATCCTTCTTTTTGACAAAGAAGACTGGATATGCCAGTGGAGACTTGAAGGGGCAAGATCCTCCCCTGCTAGGACCTTGGTCTCAGGCCTCTGGGTTATGCTGAAGCCCCAATAATAATATAATCATATTGGAATATGATAAAATATGGAAATAATATCCTATTTATTCAATCATAATTGTAACAATAATAGTAACAATAATACTGACCCATTTCCTTCAATTAGGCCGGTCACGGTCACATGGGATTTTTTGGCCGAAATATTTCGGCGGGTCACGGGTCACAGCCAAATCTTTTGGTCCCAAAGTGTCCCAATTAGGATGATTTTCAAATTTTCCGCGCCTGCGGCACGCCGAATTTCCTAATCAGGTAATAGGTCACGCGAAATTCGGCCTGCGGCCGAATTGAACATTTAGGCCAAACGGTCACGGGTCACAGGCCCGCTGAATTGATCGAAATAGGTCAGTATTGCATAATAATCAATCGTAATATAATAATGGCTAGCACTATACTACTACTATGAGCTAATGCCGGACCCGCCTGAGCCGTCCCGGTTGCTTGTTATTGTTAAGAATCTTGGCTCTCCAGCACCGTACTTTTCTCCCTGACCTTTTTTTTCGTATCAAGGTGGGTGCGGAGTTGCGCCATGCGTTGAAACTTCATGGGCGGCCTGAGCCAAGGGGGGCGGCCCGGGTTCTGTACACGCCGCGCGGGAGGCGGCGCCAATCTCGAGCTGCCAAGGCCCACCAGCGCGGATCCCTCGGCGACGCGGTCCTAACAGCCTGCAGCCTTTCTTTGCTGCGGGCTGGAGCGGGAGCCAGTGGGCACTGGGCAGGGTGAAACCCAAGCCCGTCCGGACGTAGATCGGAGCCTGGGCTGCAGCGCTGGGCTAGGCTCGCGAACGCCTCTTGGCCGCGTTGCTTAGCTGCGGCGGCGGCGATACTTTTATGCGGCGACCGGAGGCGCCCGGCGCGGCAGTGCCACGTGGCGCGCGCCACCCGCTGATCCGCGCCGAACTGGGCGCATTTGCCTTTACTTACGGGCCCGTGGGGGGAGCCTGAAACTTCGCGCACACATAAAGACGGACCCGCGATCAGCGCCCACTGCATCTCCTCGCCTCGCCTCCCCCTTCCTGATGCTCCCCGACACCCCCGCCCCCGCCCCCGCCGCCGCCGCCGCCCCCGGTCGCACACGAGTACGCGCTCCCCGCGCCGTCGCTCCCGTTCCTCGCGCACCAACTGCAACGCGCCGCCGCCGCCGAGGACGCCCTCCGCGCGGGGCTCCACGCCGCGCTGCACAACGCGCACACGTGCCGCACCCAGCTCGCGCACGAGGCCGCGCTCGTGCGCGCGCTGCAGGCCGCGCTCGCCGCACGTGAGCGCCTCATCGGCGAGCTCGAGTGCGCGCTGCACGAGGCGCGCACGGCGGTCGTCGGCGCGCGCGTGGAGGCGATGTGTGCGCAGCGCGCGGCGGGCCGGGCGGAGGCGGAGCTGGCCCGGGCGCGCGTGGGAATGGCCGGGCCGCCGGAGCGGAACGGTGTGTGGCTCTTCCCGTGGATATGTTGCAGCGCTGATGGACCGCCAGACCGCAAGCGGGGCCGCCACGACCCAGACGACGACGAAGACGGGCAGGGGGACCTGAAGCGCGTGAAACGCGAAGCAACTTGACCTATCCTGCGCGAAAATTATCGCCTAGCACCTAGCCTAATCGCCACGACCACCGTTTCATCTAATCTCCACCTCCCTGATTTTACTCTGCATCATAATACCTCCGCATATCTCTCTGTATCCACCACTACTGTCGCCCCAGGCGCCACATATATAGCTAATAGTTATCCTGTACAAGACCTCCGGGTATATTATATCCCCGCGGACCACGCCTATACCGCCTTCCCCCTCCCATCGTACACCTCCGCGTGCACGTACTTCATGTTCCCCTCGCTGCCGCCCATGCTCCCCAGCGCGAACGACATCGGCGCCGGCGGGCGCGTGCCGGAGCTGCCGTGCCCCGACGACGACAGCACGTTCACGCTCCGCCCCGCCCCGCGCTCCGCGTCCCCGGACCGCGAGCCCGAGCGCCCGCGCTCGCCGGGCTGGCGCGAGTTCATGCTGCAGAATGTCAGTGAGGAAGAGACAAAGGGAAAGACGGACAGCGCGAGCACGGAGCACGTGTACAGCGTCGAGAGCGGGAAGTCGACGATGAAGTTGCTGCATCGCATTAGTGGGTTGAACTGAGTGATGCACCGTCTTACATAGCGCGGTGCTGCGGAGCGAGGTCAGCGACGCAGACATGTGAGGAGACGACACACCTTGAAGCCGAGTGCAAACGCGAGGTCGAGGATCGCGACTGCCGCAGTTATCGACCCGCTCTCGATCGACACTGTCTGCGTCAGCTAAACCACACGTCCACAGCGAAAAGGCACGCACGGCGGACAATCCTATTAATCTGCGAGTCCACGTGCGCAAAGCCCGTCTTGCGCGACAGCTGGCGTCTATCAGTCCCACGCCGTTTCCGGAATAAACACGCACCAGCGCGCGCGCCATGCCCGCCGCGAGCACAATGTCGCACACGCACGTCGTGATCAGCCACGCAGCTGTCGTGTGCTCGAGCATCGAGAAGTTGACGAACCGGGCGGCCACGATGACGCGCACGCACGTCGTCACCCCCAGCGCTGCCCGTTTGTCAGCAACACCACGGTGGGAGGCAGAAACGCACCGAAGGACCCCAGCGCGAGGATGCTGATGATCACCGGGAGGACGTACGACCGGGAGATGACTGCCCGGGGACGATCAGCGTGGAATGCGGGTAAGCGACGGATAAACAGTGCCTTTTATCCGCCAGGCGGAGAACAGCTGGACCGGCCCGGAGACGAGCGCCTGCAAATAGTTGACTCAGCCGTTCACATCACGGCGGACGACAACGCACGATCAAGAGCGAATCTAGGGGTACTTATCGTTTGTAAAGAATCGTCGGAAAGCACGGGACTGACCACCAGGCAGCACTAAACCCGCGCTCAGGAAGGCGACGGCGGGAAGACTAGTACGCACGGACAGGGAATTTGGTCACGGCCGCGATCGTGCCTTTCGCGCCATTCAGCTTCCGCAAGACAAGGCGGAGGCCAACGCACCGAACTGGATGATCAGCGGCTGGTACACGATCCCGCACTCCACGACGACGACGGCCGTCTCGATAACCAGCAGGTAGAGCATCTGCACTGTGTTAGGACGCGAAGGGACAAAAGGCGCGACGCACAAAAAAGCGTATCCATGTGGGGTCTCTGCGAGGATTCAGCGGTGCGAGGGGAAGGAAGGGCGGGACGGGACGTACGTGGGGTAGCGCCGGTAGTACTTGAGCATTTGGGTGACCATGATCTGTCGGCGGTTGTGCACCCTGCGGGGGTAAGAGCCACTTGGGAAGAACACGCACGCCGTAGAGCAGTGTGTTGAGCACCAAACCGATGAGCATCGGCCCAAAGCTGGATAAGATAGCGTCAGCTCCACGGCCCCCCTCGCTGCGACAACACACCACACGCACAGCAGAGTGATATTCGGTGCAGGCATCTTCTTCCTCCAATCGGGCGAAGGGCAGGGCAGGGCAGGGCAGGCAGCGCGGCCTCTCTTCCCCTCTAAGTAGTATCAAGTAGGCGCCAAGCCCCTGAAGTCGTCGCAAGACGACCATGATGAGATCGCAGAAGTCCTGTCCGGATCCGGGAGAGCTCTGGCTGAGCCGCGCTGCCGGCGAGGGATCCGCCGCGCATCACAGATCACATCGTTAGGGACCCCCAGATGGGCAGATATATGGCGCACAAGAAGCATCATATACTTACCCCTACTTACCCAGTTACGAGTTGCGACGCGGACATGCACACACCCACCCTCGTCGTCAACGCCGGTCCCTGCGCGGCGCACGTCTCCGCGGTCGCGGATATCCACGCGCTCAGGCTGCAGCTCGGCGATGGTGGTGCGGAAGCAAAACGCCATCTGCCACGTGTGGCGTGTGACGTGGCGCTGATCATCAGGATCATCGGTCTCATCAGGCGCCACGACGGGCCGGCGTCACAAGGCCAAGGGGGGCGCAAGGTGGAAATTACATACATAGGGCTGAAAGTTTTTTTTTGCGCCCACTGGACCCCCCCTCCCCCTCCTGCCTCATATAGTAATGATCTCCCACGAAAACGTGACTGATGCGATCAAAATCGCATCAAAATGATCGATAGAGGTCTTGAAAATGGAAAATGTGATTAAATTAAATTGTAACTAGGCTATTATAATGTTCCTATGCCTTTAAATGAACTTTCATATAAAGTTGTATTGCTTCTTGCATCATGATGATATGTTGATGCTATCAAAGACTGTGACAAGTTTAGTCACTTCACCAAAAAAACTGGGTTTCACTGCATTCAAAGGTATAAAATGGCATTTAACATGGAAGATCTACATATGAAAGGCCTCCTAAGGCCTCCTAAGTACCTCTTGAAGCATCCCTACACCAAACACAAAAGTTTTTTTTCTAGGCTCTGGACCCCCCCCCCCCCTGCCCCATAGCCGTGATAGGCATCTTGCGCCCCCCTTGCACAAGGCCGGCGGAGGAACTGGATGAGTGGCTGATCGCCTGGCGATCCCTTGGAACATCGCGTCGGCCTGATAATAATACACCGCACCCGTGGACTATCCATTCTGTGCACCGCGCTGCGTGATCGTGATTCGTGATTGCGCGCGGCGTCGGGACCTGGCTCGCCGCTCCCGGTCCGGGTTGTACCAGGGCAGCCAGACTGGTCTCAAGCTACTTATGTAACTTAGGCTTACTATGTCTCGTGGCTATCAGCTAGTCGCCATTGACTTCAGTGCATTGGCCATCAAGTTGTTTTCATTTGTGAATTAAGGGTGCCAGAGTTAAACAGGAAATGGAGGAGAAGAAGGACGAACAAGAAAAACAGGAGAAGGAACATTCAGCTCAGCTATCGAGGAGGAAACGCTGACGCTCCCCTCGTGACTGCCGGCTCCATCTTTGCGCGCTTGTGCTCCACGTCCCCGGCGATGCCGCCCGGCCCGGCCTCGCCGCCGTCCGAGTCGTTAACGCGTTTGAGGTTATTCGCCGGCAGGGGCTCCAATGGCGCACTGAAGACCCCACGCCGATCAGCAGCAGCGGCCAACTCGCGGCGCAGCTTTTCCCTCTCCGCGCGCTCGGCGTCGCGCTCCCGCTCGAGGCGCGCCTGCAGCTGGACGAGCAGCCGGCGGATGGCGAGCAGCTCCGCGGTGCGCGCGGCGAGCTCGGCTGCGTCGGCGAGCGCGCGCTTTTGCTGCTCGGAGCGGATCTGGTGGAGTAGGTCGATCGCGTCGGCGAGCACCGGGCCGGGCGCGGCTGTGGGTGGGGTTGATGATGCCGTTAACGCGGGTGCGGGCACTAGGTCAGCGGCGGTGCGCCAAGCCTGGTAGTCGCCGGCGGTCGGTGTTAGCTGAGACTGAGGCGGCGGTGGGAAGTATGCCGGCCGCGGGGCTTGGCCTGCGCCCGTGCTCCGGAGCTGGTGGAGGAGCTCCGGGGCCGGTACAGTCCCCGGCCACTGTACCCCCCGCAGGCCCGCCTGCCAGCCATGATGAGGGAGGCGCAGCCGGCCCCGCGCCGGGGTGCCCGGGGATATGCGCCGGAGTGGCCGGTGGTTGGGACTGGGACTGGGACTGGGACTGGGGCGGCAAGTACGGTAACGCGAGCAGCTTGCGCAGATATGCGTCCGCATTCGTGTTGCCGGTGAGCTCTGGCGCGAGGCTGAGGCCAGGATAGGTCGCGCCTCGTGCTCAGGGTGTCAACGTCCGTTGGCTATTCTTAGCAACCGCTCCTGAGCCGTGCGGGGCGGGCATACCACATTTGACACTGCAGTGGCTTCCCTAATCAATTCGCAAAAAAAAAAAAAAATCGCCCTCACGTGCGAACTAGACTATATTAGGACACGCCGCGGATTCGAACCCACGGCACGGTGGACGCGGGCCCCGGCACCGGCACCGCGTCCACCGTGCCGGAAGTGTCGCTTGAGCGGTGAGCATAGAACCGCAGCCTTAGAAGCAGTGGCAACTCGAGCAAGTCTCCCCACTCGCCCGCACCTCTGAGTGTCTCATGAAGCCCCCGTCCAACCCGAGCGGGGCATTCGCCGTGGTTCACGTGCTTTGAATCCGATCACCGGCCGTCGGCCGACTTCAGCGCCTGACCGATCAGTCACACGAGAAGCGTTTTGCTCGCTACACCCACCAGGCCTGCCAGACAGCGACTTTCCACCGACAGGGAGGTGGCGCGCCGGCCCCCTGCAGCCTGCCACTAATATGTCCGGTAGAGGTGCCAGGCAGCAAGATGCGATCGCGAAAAACGGGCTGCGCCTGGCGCAACGACATGTGGCGCTCTACTCGTGGTCCTGCCTCTTTCTTACGGACGGCGGGACGGGGCCTGAGCGACAATCCAGCGCTTGCTGCAGCTCCGCCTCCGCCGCCGGTGCCGGAACCCGAAGACTGCCCCCCATCGCCGGCCGGCCGGGCGCAATCTTCACTGGCAAGTTGTCAAGACTCAAGATACTTATTACGCGGCGCATAATCATCGTCTCGCTCTCTGCCACTGCCACGTCGCTGCGCAAGACGAAGACGCCGGCGTACGTTCCTCCCCAATTTGGGGCTCGACCACCAACGGGCCTTCAAGCACTCAGCATATTTTTCCGTTCAAGTCCCCCCAACCCAACTCAAGGGACTCCTCTTGTCTTCGACAACAACGGCCCGGGAGGGCTGGGGGGATTAACATTCCTTGCCTGCGCGCGAGCTCTGCGGATACTTACTCGTGAGGGGGCACTAGCATGGGTGCGCCGAGACCGTCACGGGCAGACTAGCGGATAATGAGCAGCCGGCGCCAATGTGCGCACCGGGCCCGGGTCCGGTGACAAGGACCCGCGCAGCCCAAAAGTGCTGATCCCACGCTCCTTTCTCTTTCCCTCGGAGCCCTGCGCTCAATATCCCCAAACGCGCCATATCACAATACCGCCTTCGAGCGCCCGGCGATAGGTTTCCTCGTCAAGACTCGACGCGGCGCTGAACCATCGTGACGCGGGTCCTGGGTAACTCACTCCTTAGCCTCTGCGACATTGACGTACGCTGATGCATGATTATGAATTTATGATTATGCAGTGCGGCCGTAGGTCTGCAGTCCGCATGGCCTGTCGGGCCTCTTGGGGTAACTTCGGCTTCGTGCACAGTGCACACAAGTGTGCGACGTTGTTAACGTTCTTTCATTCTCTTCTGGCATGCCTGCGCGGGGCTGACGAGTCACAGGGACGAGTCACGAGTCGGGGATGTCTACAGCAACTTGAACAGGATGCTCGCGCCCGATAGCCGCTGGGTCTGTCGGCTTGACTCCAGCATCTCACTTCGAAGTCTGCGATAACGATGTGGTGTGCGCACGCCTCGTGGCCAAGACGTCTGACGATGACGGCAATAGGCGGCCGATGGAGCTAGGCGGCGTGTACAAGAGAAGTAAGAACTGTGGGTCCGTGGGAAGCTCATGCGCGCGTGGTTGCCTGGCGATGAGTTTGAGCCTAATTTAGAACAATAAGTGCCTTTGTCCAAATGAACTGACTTTGACAATGCCACCAAATCCCTTGTTCTCGTGCCATGACGACGACAGTACCAAGAACATTGTTCTTGTTTTCTTTGATCATCAGCCTTGCATTCTCAGTCAAAGAAGCCTGGCGTGTGAGCTGTCAAATCAAAAAAGGAACAATAGCAATTCCTTGTCGAAGAATGAAATAACAGCCTCGCAGACAATGTCCGCTGTGTTCCTTCCTTTCCCCCACTTTTTACTTCAGCCACTAGCCACTGCTCACTGCTATCATCTATGCAGCTCTTGAACGGCGATTGTGTCTCTGACGAAATCACTCTGGAGATACTCACCCTTGCACTCTCTGTCCCTGACAGTGACTTCTCCTCATCTGACTCCTCAACTTTTGCACGGTTTGAGAACTCAAGCTCCGCCTACCTTAGTGTCTGCAAGTCCTGGTGCCAAGTTGGCACACCACTCCTCTACCATGTTGTGGTCATCCGCTCAAAGGCCCAAGCCCAAGCATTGGCAGCAGCACTGACTAAGGACAATAGTCAGAAGACCAAGCCTGAGGACAAGACACTTGGGGACTTGATCAGGAAGCTTCGCCTTGAGGGCGGGTATGGAGAATCGACATCCAAGATCTTGAAACATTGCACCCAACTCACCGATCTTTATCTTACATTTGATATTGTGACACCAGATACCACTGGGGGACTTTGCCATGGTCTCAAGCTTATTCACCCTCACCGGCTGCTGGTGGATTTCAACTATTCCGGGCGTGAAAACAAGATGATCAAAGCTCTTATGGATGCATTAGTGACAGCAATTGAAGGGTGGCATTCCTTGGTGTGTGTTTTTCTTTCCTTCAACCTGAAAAAAGTAATATCTATGGCTTCCCAGACAATGTTGCACACAACAGATTACTCTCAGGTATCAAGCTTTTCGCTCAGGTTCATACATGCTGTAGCTGCTGCTGGCCGTCTAGAACACCTTGTTGTCCCTGACATTAAACGTGCTGAGCAACTGTACAAAGAATTACAGCAGTGTCCCTTGCATAGTGTTACTGTCAGATCAGCACCTGCTGAGCTTCATGCTCCAAACCCTAGCCTCCAGTCTTTGCTTAGATTCACAGAGCAGAATAGGTATACTGTCCTTCAATTACTAAAATGAGCACTAACCTATTTTCAGTGAACTTCTATTGGTGAATACCAAAGACTGGAGCGTTCCTCATCAGGAAAAACCTCCCCGAGAAATCCGATAGGATTTCTGGAAATTTCGCAAAATCAGCATGGATTTTTAATGATTTCTTTCATTTCCAGGATTTCTGTAATTCCTTTAGTCCCCCAGAAATTTCGGGAAATCTGAGCAAATTTCCAATGAATTTTTGGGAGATTTCCAGCAATTTAAAGCTTTTTCAGGGGGGCTTGCAATGATAGAAGAGCAATCCAATTATTTGATTCAACGCAAAACTACGATACAATAGCTCTATTACCCTACAAGATGATGCACATCATCTGGACACTCCCGCTATGTCAGCCCATATTTCAAGAACCTGTTGTCCACTGTCAGCACAAGCATGATGAAGCAGGGTGAATCACGTACCACAGCGTCTGGTTTCCCACTGCCTTCCCACTGCCTCACGCCAAAACAGTGTTACACGCGGCATCCATGCAGCTGGGCAAGGCAGCTGGGTACCCATGGTTAGTGTCCTCGTAAGCGAGAGCGTTCACGGTCGCGGCGACCTTGGGCAGGGTGATGCGTAAACGGCGTGGGGCCACGTACACACGCGGCGTTACTACGCCGGTGCAGCAGCTTCACTACGCGACTCGTGTGGCATCCTAGTCCAGCGAGAAGGGTGGCGAGACGACAGCGACGGCGGATGGCAGATGGCAGTCAGCAAGTGGCGCGGAAGCTGGGGTTGGCGGGCCAGCGCTCGCTCGGTCAGCTGGTTTGCATAGCCGTTGATGGCTCCACTCACCCGCCATTTGGACCGTTCGATCCCTCGTAGCGTCTCCAGCAGCCCTCCCATCTTCCCAAGGACTAGCGCAGACAGCGCAGAGGCGGCGTCTGCAGATGATTGGTAAGCATGGGCCACATTGAAGACGGACCACTCACTGCAATGACGATAGCGCTCGTCAAACGGGCACACCAGGCAGGGCGGAGGGCCGACGAGCGAGGGAGAACATGCTCCTTCCGCGCGGGTGGGCCCGGTACCACTCTCAGCGCGCCTTCACAAACAGGCATTGGCAGAGCATGGGCTGGCGGCCTACGCTTTCGAAGAGGGGGAAGAAGTCGAGAAGGGGGGAACATGAGGGGGGAAGGAAAGAATGGTACGATGTTTTTCTTTGATGTGACACATAGGTAACAAATCCATCAAAGATCTGCCAAAGACATGGCAACGTGATCAGTTTAGGGCCAGTTTTTGATGGGAGACTTAGAGAGATACTCTGGATGTAATTTGAAATCACAGAATTAACATCTCAAGTATAAAACATTGCAGAGATGGACATTTACCATCTACACATATCCTGTATAGTACTTGCCATGGTTATTTAACTATCTCATTGACATGCTACAGAAATTATTGTAAATTTATAGAAATTCTGTGGAATCTGGTTAAATTTCACAGTATTTCTTAAGGCCACTAAAAATTCCAGAAATTTTATGAGATTTCTCAGGGAGGTTTTTCCTGATGCTTTCACCCCAATGCAGAACTCCCCACTGGATATCCAGAAATCTATCTGGTCACACATTCTCTATTTTGCAATGCAATGCCCAGGACGTGTAAAGCAGGCACATTCATACAGTTTCAACCATAATACAGCTGAGTGGATCACACCCAGTACATCACTCCTTCTGGTATCAAGATTTTTTTATGTGAGAAATCATTTATAGATAGCAATAGTATACTCACATTCTGGATAGAATATTGGGATTTCACACTTCCGCGCTCATGTTGTTATCTGTGATACTCATTCCATCCAAGGCTTCTCAGAGGCCATGGATGGGGATGAGTGGGTAGGCATCAAGACATTTGTCACCCACAGACTACACCCAGCGCTCTTTATAAAATGATTACCAAGATAGGACATACCCTCACAGTTCTCCATGTCCTAACAAAGCACTCTGAAGCAGAGTCGGAAGTTCCTACTTCCAGCAGATGCCTTAGCAAAGCTCAGTGTGCTCAAGCTCCTGGATATCAGTGGTCCTATTGTGTTCTCACTGAATGAGGGGTATCTTCACGATGCTCTCCCACATGTGGAGAGCATTGTTCTTGACCATGTTCATCCCACCCTGCTATCAGTGCTAGAGCATATCCAGTATGTATACTTATGATTTCTTTACATTACCTGAATTCAATGTTTCAGGCTTCCTATGCTTCATACATTGGAATTATGTACATCCAGACTCTCATATGATGTTGATTGGATTACTGTTCATGGACCAAAGATGGTCCACCTTCAAGTTGATTGGATTCCCATGCTTACTGTTCATGGCCAGAGGATGGTCCACCTTCAATTGAATCAGAAAGAGTTGGTGGCAATTAACAGCAACTTGCTGAATTTATGCCCCAATTTATCAACTTTATCACTAGTGCTTGAGGTATGTTAATATCACTTTCATATATCAATATTAATCCCTAAGTATAGGATAAACTACCTCCACCATCCACAATACTGAATGCAACACTTCCTTGTGAAAGTTTGACTCATATCAATATTTACATGGGTTACTGGCCTATTAAGTAGGTTGATACCCTTTCTATTCAGTTGCACCAACTCAAAGATTTCAGTAACCATGGGAGAAGTAACAAACTAATTGGCCAATGGGATGAATTTTTTGCTTCATTCATGCCCACTGCTGAGATGATGATTCCCAACCTTCATATAATAACATTTGATTGCCTGGAATGGCCCACACATGAGTTAGTATTTGCTTCCTGAATCTTTAAGCAGTATCTAATTTATATCTGTGTAGGAGAGACATTGCCAGGAGTTGGTGGGTACGCTGGGCTGGGCAGTTTAAACTCCTTGGTGTAGATCTGCTAGGACTTGATAATAGGAAGTGGCGGCCAAGGTTATAGGGTCCCTAAGGAGGATGAACAGTATAGTACATTGATCTGCAAGTATCAGTTGTGTATCTCAACCCACATATGCCAACAGATAATTTACAGATTCATATAATTATATTGTTCATCTGGCCCCATAAGACACTAAAATATAGCCATTCTTTGATCTGACCTCTGCACACCAGAAATCTACTAACCACTATTATCATATCAAGTATCCAATTCAATTCTCTGTACTTGAGACCTATGATAGATCAGCATAAATATGTAACATAGTGCAAGGCTCGTGTTGAATGACATTTTCATATTTCTGAACACTACAGATATAAAAACCTTGAAAGACACATTCCTCTTAGGAAATCATAGAACCGTGCGTGCTAGTTATGATCACACGTCATCTGTCATTACATCAGCACATTTTTTGCCTCCCGCTCCGAACGACAACGAGACGATGGGCGCGGGCGCCGCGCGCGCGGCGAGCAACGCAGAAATCCTGCGCAAAGCGTGTGGCGACTCCTCTTCCCTCTTCTTGCTTCCATGGTGCCCGCCGACATTGTCCTGCTGGCGTGGGCCCTGTTCTCGCTGTCATTTCAGGCGAGTTCTCTCCTCCGTGATCGTCAAATGGCGCTCAACCGCTTCCAGGCCCGTGCGTGCTCCGGCCCCGCTGACTCCGCTCTACCGCAAGTACAAGACGGCTGGGTACGACCACATGTACACGGTGAGCGAATTCTTTTCGCGTTCTTTCCGCCCACTTAGGTATTTCGCAGGCCGATTTGGGCGAGTACAACGCAAACAACGGGTGGACGCAGGAGGGAGTGCGCGCGCTGGTGTTCACGACGCAGGTCCCGGGGAGCGTGAAGCTGTATCGCTTGTGGAGCGGGGTTGCAAGTGTGTCGCCATTTTTCCTCTTTCTTCCACTCACACATAGCCTCCCACAGTTGACCATCTCTACACAACCGACAAGTCTGAGGGCGACAAGGCCACACAGACCGGCGGGTACGTCTACGAAGACGCCTCACTCTACGTGTACCCGTCTGCGCAGTGCGGCGCGGTCCCGCTGTACCGGCTTTACCTCGGCGGCGACGGCAAGGACCACTTCTACACCGCCGACCCCGCCGAGCGCGATCAGGCTGTGGGACTCGGATACAAATACGAGTGGGTCGCGGGGTATGTCTTCCCGAAGGATGCCGCCCAGCAGCAGCAACAACAGCAACAGCAACCAGCCCAGACAACAACCAAGGTCAGCACCCCTCCGCCGGGTGAGCCCGGGCCAGGGCCCGCTCCGCAACCGCCGGCTGACCCGCCGACACAGGGCCAGCCTGATCCCGGCGCGCCGCCGGCGCAGCCTTCCCGCACCAACAATGGTAGTCCCAACGCGGGCTCCAGCGCCGGCGGAACAACCCTGGCGGCGGGCGGCGGCCCCGGGCTGCTCACGTACTCCGGTTCGGTGCTACCCGCAGCGACGTCGCTGCTTCCCGGTGGGCAGAACACGAACGCGAATGGGGATAGCCAGAATTCCGCGGCGGGGGTGCGGATCGGGAGTGGGGTGAGTGTGGGTGGGCTTATAGCGCTGGGGATTGTATGCTTAATTGCATGAGGAGTCACGTCTGGCACAGTTGCGGTGGACGGGGTGCCGTGGGTTCGAGCCCTGGGTGTGTCCTGAAACAAAAGTTGTCTTCTAGATTTTTGCAAAGTGATGCTGCGGCGGGGGTGTGGGGTGAGTGTGGGTGGGCTTCTGACGCTGAGTTTGCTTGGGATTGTATGCTTCATTGTATCAGGGAGTGAATTCGCCTAAGTACTTACATTCTTTCCCTTGAAATCAAGCCACATGAGCGCCGGATCACTGTCTGAAGTCACACATCACACTCTTTTCCTTTTTATTCCTCGGCCACCTCCTCCATGATCCGCTTCATCCTCGTCCAGGTCCGTCCCGTCCTTCTCCGCCCTTGGATTTCAACCGCTGACCCCCGCAGAACCGGCAGGGCAAGACGCGGCTGTCGAAATGGTATGTGCCATATGACGACGACGAGAAGGTGCGCTTCGACGACACGGTCAGCGACAGGCACGGACTAATGCAGAGCGGGAATGGGTGTGCAGGTCAGGTTGAGGGGCGAGGTACACCGACTCGTTGCGCCGCGTGACCAGAAGTACCAGAGCAACTTTGTCGAGGTGCGTGCCTGTGCCAACTTTATTTTCTTCTTCCCCCGCATTTCCACCTCCCCGCCGTCCCTCAGCTTGCCTTTTTTCCATACCTCGCCTGCCTCTGCTCACGGCTCATGGCTCACCGCCACCAGTTCCGGAACTACAAGATCGTGTACCGGCGGTACGCGGGGCTCTTCTTTTGCGTCTGCGTCGACGCGAACGACAACGAGCTCGCCCACCTCGAGGCGATCCGCTTCTTTGTCGAGGTCCTCGGTGCGTCTCAATGGCCGTCATCCTCCGCTTTGCGCGCTGATGTCCGCTTTGCGCGCTGATGGGCCCGGTCACAGACACGTTCTTCGACAACGTGTGCGAGCTGGATCTCGTTTTCAATTTCTACAAGGTGCGTCTACTTTTGTTGTGGGCGTACTTGGGCGGATGACGGACCGCAGGTGTATGCGATACTGGACGAGGTGTTCCTCGTGGGGGAGATCGAGGAGACGAGCAAGGACGTCGTGTTGGCGCGGCTGGAGGCGCTGGAGAAGCTCGAGTAGCGTGGCTAACTCCGGTCCGCGGGCAGCGGGCACGTATGTACTGACTAACGGTGCGCTCGTTTTCGCTTGTTGTGCCCAAGTGGATGCTGACATGATTATTTCCAGGACTTGTGTTACAATAGCGGAATAAGTTATGCAATACCCTCGGATTCGGACTGCGCATGATGTCTGACGACCGCAGGCCCAAACTTTGCTAGTGCTTGCTTGCATCTCGAATTCTTTGTGCATGGGTTAACAGTGTGTAGAAAAGACCACACATTATTGTCAAGACCCTTCCCTGATGCGATGCTGTGGATGGCGGCAACTAGAGACAATGTTACAGTGCGCCGCCGGCTGACACTGGGAGGTGCCGTTTGGCAGTATTTGCCTCCGAGTCGGGTCCGACAAGTATGCTTATGTCCACCGCGCCCCATTGTTGCTGCCACGAACTTCATCCATTCCCCGAGCGGCTAGCGTCAATGCATCTGCACTTGTCGAGGCGTCGAAGGGCAGTACAGAAGACATTAACAAGATGCCTTCAGTCCGGTTGCAAACGTTCAGGATTCCCGTCATGCTTGCGAGCCAGCGTGCCCGTTCTTGATGACGCGACTCCGCGAAATCCCTTTCTCGCCGCAATGGAAGGACGATTTGCAAATCAATGGCTGAAATCCTGGTCAACACACACAAAAATGGACCCTGCTGCGTGTATCGGCGAAACAGTCTCAGGCTGAGTGTCTCTCCCGACCATAGTTTCGGGGTGCGACTTCCAAGAATGGCCATAATGACGCACGATAGGCGCCCGTCTTCCGCGCGCCGGCACATGCCGACTGCCAGAACACTGTCAATCGGCCACTCTTCCCCAGCGCTAAGCTCGCTATCACTGACACGCCTTAGCGCCGTGGCCGCGGGGGTCCGATCGCCAGTCTGCAGACCTGCGCACGCTTCTTGTTTCTCCCCACCACGGAGACTGTGAATCGAATGGCACAACCTGAAGCTGCTAGCACCCTTGCTCCTCCGCCCACCATCTCCGTTCAGGTGCGCCAAATGCACTTATTTTGTTTCAATTCTCCCATGCTCATGGTCGTGTTAGCGTCCGCCCACGCCGGACATGGAATCGCAGCCTGGGACCACGACTGCAAACGGGGCCGCTGCCCACCGTAACCCCAGCGGCCGCCTCAGACAGCTCCATGCGGGGCTCTGGAACCGCATCCTGATCTGGCTGAAAGTCAGAGATGCGGCGGACCCGCTGTTGCGCCCCGGCGCCAGACCACAGACGGAGGAGAAAGCGGTGTGTTTATAACTCAATCTTGATATCTACACCGGGTAATCGAAGCATGCAGCTTCGCCTGCCTGTCGGGCCGAGCGTCGCTTCCTTGGTCGGCGCAACAGCAAACCTTGCATTTCAGTCCCTTGCAATTGACGACTCCGAAGGTGTGCATTGTTTTTGATGACACTGGGACACATTCACAAGATCTATCTAGGAAGTCGGCCGCATCGGCCAGATCAGGCTCATTGGAACGAGGTGGGTATTTTCATGCCCTGGGAAAGAGAAAAAATACTATTAATAAACCCTGCCATGGTAGTTACTACCCCCTTTAGATGCTGGTGCAGCTGTCAGTAGCTTAGTGGGCACAACTGCAAGTTTGGCATACCTTGCTGTGGGTTTACCAGATGGTAAGCATAAATACAAGATAAATCCTGAATATTCATGCTCTTTTTTAGCTGATAATAGTCCATTCCGGCGGTCATGCCGTGAGCATGCCCAAATCTGGAAATTGTACATGGATATTGCTCAGAACTTTGATAAATCACTGGCCGAGACTTTCAATAGTGATTTAGACTCCCTCCTCATTTTTGTAAGTCTTTATTTGTTAATCCTGCACTATTTACAAGGAGGGTGTGTAGGCAGGCTTATTCTCTGCAATTCTTTCAGCCTTCTTGATTGAAGTCAGAAGAGGCCTAGAGGAAGACCTGCAAAGTGTTACCAATACTCTGCTGAAAAACTTGATACAGGTTCAGGCCAATGCCTCCAGTATCATTCCCCCTACAGAGCCTTTTAGCCCTACACCCTCAACCCGCTTTGTCAATGCTCTGTGGTTCACAAGCCTGACATTCAGTCTTCTCAGTGCTCTAGGTGCCAGTGCTGCAAAATCATGGGTCACCCAGCTAGCAAAACTCTCAGGGTCTAGCTGGAGCAATGCTTCTGCTCATTGCCGCCGTCTGAGGGGCATTCAGCGCTGGCACTTTGCAGCATTTGTCCAGTCTCTCCCCTTCTTTCTCCATGTGGCATTTTTCCTCTTTGGTGCTGGGCTTGTCATCATCCTTTTCCAGGATGACAAAAGCATTGGCATTCTGACATTGGCCTTGACATCCATAGTAGCCATACTTTATGTGGGAAATATTGTCTTCTCTGCCATCTATCCAGATTCCCCATATAGGACACCACTGTCTGGCCTTCTGCAGCGCTATGTCCTAGGTCTCAAGCCCCGGACCATCAAACTACTTGCCTCTCCAGAAGAGGATGATGCACGGAAAGCTCAGGCTTTGGCCTGGCTGCTTGCCCAGCCAGTACCTCTGGAAACAACACAGGCAACAATCAGAGCAATTGCTGGACTACCATTCAGCAAATCTGTCCAGCATGAACTTTATCATGGAACAACCACAGCCATGCTTTCTACCCAGCTGATTGATGAGATTGCTGATGTACCAGCAGGAACAAAGCCTTCCTCTGACTCACTACAGCATCTGCTGTATGCACTGCTCCATTTGGTCCAGACAGCTCCTGAGGAAGCTCCTGCATCATCAGCTGCAAGAGATGCTCTCAAAAGACTTGTAATTGGTGTTGGACCCTTGGTACATATTGCCTGGCTTCCATTGCAGGTTCAAGCTCCAGCAATGTGTCTTAAAGCTGCAATTATCTACTTTTTAAGTGGAAAGGAGTTGGTCAAGCAAAATGCCCAATTATTCTCTGTGCAAATTCCCTATATGGCCCGCACATGCTCTGAGAAATGTTTACGCTATTTGTTCACTCGGCTAGCCTATAGTAACTGGTCACTGGAGCAGCGGACAATACCTAAATGGATGCAAGAGTTAGGAAAGCCAAAACTAGAGCGTCAGGCAGAACAAATACTCAAATGGTTAACACTTGAAGGTTTGTTTGAATTGTTTAGTAATTTGATTTACTCACATTAGTGCATTTAGGCAAAACAGCTTTTTCACAAAAGCTATTGCAATATCTCCCTCAACTCCTTCACTCCCCCAATGACACCATACAGCTTTCAGTATTGCAACTTCTGCAGGCATCTAACATTAGGGATTTGAATGACACTCAGACAAAAGAACTGTCATCAATATTATTCAATGTTCTTACACATAGTCACTCATCATCTGTGCAGCAGGCTATAGTCAAGCTTCTAATAACTGATGGTCAGTAGTCTTTTAATATAGTCTCTAATGTCTAACTCAACCAAATAGCAACCTTCTCCACTGATGTGCCACTGCCAGACCTTCTCCAAAGCCTTCTCCAGTTGGTTCAGACAACTGTTTTTGAGAGTGCAGCTTTAGCACTTGAATGTATTATTAAATTCTCAGATATTCATGGTCTGTGGTGATTATCTTTAACATCTTATATAAAACTGATTTGCTACAGATGAATTCTTTAATCTAGTGTGCACTACAGAAAATGCCAGAATCATTGTCCTTGCTGGGATCTATCACTCTAATAGAGAGCAGGTCACAGAGATTATCCAAAAACTTCTTGAACGGGGTAAGATAGTTAATATTTGAATATCATAGCATACTCTAATATTTTATCATAGGGGGAATATGTAGACTGCTTCTCGGCACAGAGCTTGAAAAACAACTGATTTCTCTGCTTGATGTTGATCAACCAGATGAAAATGCCAATCCAGCTGTTAGCCTCAATGATAAGAGAAGGTTGGCTGTTAGCTGTATCAGCTCAGTTTACACCTATGGTAATATTCAAGATACAATGATTAGCTTAGTTGCTAAATATTATTAGGCATGAGGTGGAGTACTATCAACAAAGATTCATTATCCTATTTCTTCAAAACTGCCAGAACTGTGGATAGCGAGATAGAGGAGTTAATTATTGCAGCACTGAAGACTTTTAATGACACAAGTATAATTTCATGACTCAACAGGAATGTGTATATACTTATTTCTGCCTAGATGTTCAGCAAGACCTTCTCAGCATTGCATACAATGAAGTTTATACTTGTTTGGGATCAGGGTACTATTTGCAACATGCAGTCAAGATAATTAGACATCTGCTAAGTGATCGTCTGTGTTCAATTACGTTTGTACTTCCTCTGTTCTTACATGCCTTGTAGAGTTCTTAGTTCAGATATCCACCGCCACAATTGAAGATAATACTGCAAAGATTATACAGAATCATGGGAATAGTGGAGTTGATGTCATAGTTGCAATTTTTGACTCTGGTCAGTGATTTTGAATACCAAGCATATTCCTAATAGATATATAGAGCAAAGCACACTGTATAGGCTCTGTGGAAAATCTGTCATTGTGGAAATTCTCATCAAACAGCTTGAGGATATCAGTTGGTCTACAAGACGAGATGCTGTCCAATTTATACATCAAATATTCAAACATGGTATTGTTTTATTGATTGTATCTAACTGATCATACTGAACAAAATTTTATAGCCCAATCTATTGAAGACCTGGCAAATTTATTGCCATTGTCAACATTAACTGGCCTTCTTATAGATGGAGATGAGGATGTTCGATATGCAGTGATTCAGTGTCTCAATTTTACTGAAGAGAAAGGTATTTAGTGATTTCAGGCTCTAACAATCAATTAATAAAGTACTAGGAATATATTCCCACAAGCCAATATTAGATGTCCAACAGATAAAAGCAATCATAGCAGATACAGATTCAAGTGTTTGTCAGTCAGCAATGACATTCTTTGTTAGGGTAATGAAAAGAGAAGGTAACTACTTCAGTCCAGCTGAGTATTATATTAAGTATATAATAGTGCCTGAATATACAGACCAGGAGGCTACAGATATATTCTCCCATATTATAACACTGGCAAATGACTCTAGTCGGGGAGGAGTACAAATGCATGCAATTAGGACAGTGATAGATCTGTGGGCTCTTGGTAATTTCTTTAACATTTCTATAAGTAGAAGTGCTGATTTGCTTATTTATTTAGATGGTGATGTTGGAGAACTTAGAACTATAGTGGGTGTCAAAGATTATCTCAATGACTCATCTTGGCGAGTACGTATGGGTGCTGTGGCTTGTATGGGTGCTATTCTCCAACAAGGTATGTATTATAGTAATGATGTTTAAGTTCATCTTAGTTTGTCATTTAGAAAAGGACAATACACAGATTGCTATGTTTGAAACTATTCAAAATCTAGCTATATCAATTGAAGACTCAGATAATGATGTTCGAAAAACTATCATTAAAACTGTTGTTGACCTACTTTTGATTGGTATACACCTCAGCTATCTTTAGGTCTTACCGACTGACATCATAGTCAGATTCCATTAGAAGCAAAATCAAAGACACAGAAAGCATTATTAATATGATACAGCAGGGCCTTCAGGATACATATTCTGATGTTCAGCAAACAGCAATGGATTCTATTCCAAAACTTATGAAAATTGGTATGTTCATCTTCACATATAATCATATATGACCCAAGATGATCAGAGGAATATCATGAAGTGCTTATCACAACTGACATGATCGATGCAATGATACTAGGAGCTAAGGGAGAATCTGAATCAATGGACAAGGTTCTGAAATCTCTATTTCCACAAAGTGATGAGCCACACAAAAAGCAGCCCAATACTGGATGGACTCAACAAATATTCTTGGAGCATACTATATCTAACTTGGGAAACCGCACAGAATATGATCTGTGGGTTGAAGCTGCAAAAGTAGCTTTGAAAAATGGTAATTTCTTCCTATGACATTCAGATAGGTAATATAGATCACATATTTAGACCAAATGAAAAATTTCCTTCACCAAGCAGACAGTATAAAGTTCATTATGGACTGCTTGGAGAGTGCAGATAGGTCAAGAAAACTAGGAGGCTTGGAGCTTCTGTCTTTATGTTATGAATCAGGTAAGCTTTCTTATATAGATGAAGTCTAAACTCAGAAATCAAAAAGATGTTGATCATTTCCCTATTGATAAGCTAAATATCAAGCTACTCATACTATTGGATGACTCCAATCTTCAAGTACAAGAGGGGTCCCTAGCTTGTATCAAGGCAATGTCATCTAAAGGTCAATCACACTATATTATAATAATCAACAAATTATTTATTTATATGACAGATAAAATGAGCCAAGCACAAATCATCCGCAAATGTTTCCAGCTATTAGAGCACAAGGATCATAACATAGCCTTCTCATCATTGAAGACCCTCAGATCAGTGGCAACCCAGGGTATGTACATTTTGTGATCTTGATAATTATATTGAGAGCTTGATTAACCTCAAACTCAAGATCAAACTGCAAACTTTTTGACTCTCTCGGCCTTCAAGCGCATATGTGAATTTGTGACTGAGACAGATGCAGCCTTTCATGATATTGCCATTGATTGCATAAAAATACTCTCTGACTTTGGTACAGGAACTGTCTGCTACCAAAAAAGTACTCTAATATTGTTATAGATGCTGGCAAACAGACCCTCCTCTCATCTGATGCACTCCTCTATCTCTTTGGACGACTGAATGGTACCCATATAGATAGTCAGATTTTAAAAGTCATTCAGATCATACTTTCTCGTGGTAAGTGGGCACTCACAATAGCTAGTTATACTACTAATATAATGTGCTGGTATAGGGTCAGGAAGCACTACTGTCCTTGGAATCATTATAGATCATGTACTTTCTGGCCTGGCAACAGGACCAGAACATTTATATACAGAGTATATGAAACTTGTCCAGAATATCCCCCAGTAAGTACTGCATACATATCAAGAACTACATGTCACTTACTTTATACAGTGAATTTAATTTACCTGCATCCAGCCTTAAGCTCATAACAACATTATTGAATGACAAAAGAGCAACAGTTGTCCAACATGTTATTCAGCTGATAGTGTATTTCTCTGGACAAGGTTAAAAGCCAAAGTTTCCTTGATATACTCTAAAACTGCTCCTTAGATAATTATCAAGCATTGTTGTTGTCTGAAAATACCTGGGAAGGATTACTTCAGCAGCCTGAGACTGCTTACCTGGTGCCACTTTTCCTGGCTGCCAGGCCCTCTACAATCCACTCAGTTCAGCTGGCAGCATCCTCAGGAATAGTTCCACAGTTACTGAACTTATATGCTTCTGCCGAACTTGAATCTCAGGTTGTTGGACTTATGGGAATGCTTGCCTTAGATCTCACATGAGCTGTAATCATTTATGCCAGTTAGACATTGTTTTTAGTTATTCAAGACATATTATTATATCCTACAAAACTCAGCCTGAAGCTTGACAACCAACTTTCTGTCACAGTTCAGGTCGGGCCGCCACAGGGCGTTCGGGTCCGATCGGGCCTGCATGGGCCCGCACAACTGCCATACTCCTCAACGCTCCTCGTCCTTCCAACCCCTTCCCTTCACCCCTGCGGGCCCTACGCAGCGCCCATCCGATCCACCCTGGGACCTAGTGCCCATCTGATCCATCCCTAATATCTTAGTGTATAAGAACCGTACTTACAGGATGTAGTCACTAGGCTAATATCATCTATTCTCCGGGCTTAAACCCCATCTTCGTGCTCCTCAGACCCACTCGAAGTCGGACCACCCGACGTCCCAATACGGCCCAAGCCCAACGCTGACACTTTCTGCTGTCTGTTTTGCCCCTCTCTTATACAGGGCACTTAGTAAGTACTTTCTTTTCAAGATATAGATCTTCTAGGTTGCGGTGCATTCAAAAGTTATTTCAAATTTCATGATGAACAGTTTGAACATGATGTTCACAGCCATACTCTGAAGCAATCAAAATCAGATGTGTGTGGAGAACTTGAATGGGAGAACGGTGCACCAATGAGCTGCTGGTTGCATATGACCTCGCACATCATCATTGTGATCCGCAGCGTCTTCATATCCGTCATACCATAACATACCATATGCCTACCATAACACACCACATGCACACCCTGCATAATCTCGCTTCCCACGCCGTCAATCACCATGGTGACCCCGCCAGTCATGCCGTCTTGGGCAAGCAGCTTTCCGAGCCCCATGGCCCACTTTGCCGCAGTGTGTGTCAGAAATCGGCGCTGATAGACCACGCCGCACGCTCCCAATCGAGTGCCAACAGACGAATAGCTTGACCACTACCCAAGGGTACAAAGGGAACGTAGGTGGAGATAAAAGTGTGCCCTACAGGCACGCTGACGCTGCTACTTATAGCGCTTCTCCGGCACTGCCCTAACCCGGGCTCCGGCCGGCCGCAATCACATGAGGGACCGCGCATCACCGCGCGTCCGTCCTTCCCGATACCGCTAACAGTGCGCGCAAGCTTCGCGGGTGAGGAGGAGGTGACGTACACACGTGCGCCAAGTTGGAGGGCCAGGGTTACTAACACCCTGAGGATTCCAAAGAAAACTGGACCATTTTTAAAAATTTTAATAAAGGTAATAATATGCCAAAAAAGACTATCTTTATTGAGTAGAAAAAAAAGTTGAAAAAGATCAAGTGGATAGCAAAAAAGCTTCCCAGAATGTGGCAAAAAAAGCTTGCCTGCAGGGTGGAAAAATAGAACTTTTTTGGTCACAAGGAGCCTTTTTGTATTATAATATTGACTATTTTTTTTCTGACAAGATTGCTATTCTATTTCTTGGGTCTTTTTGAATCTTTTTGCCCAACAAATAAAGGTTTCCCTTTTTTGGCCAATTATTACCCTCATTAAAATTTTCAAAAATCCTCCCGTTTTCTTCTGAATCCTCAGGGTGTAAGTATGTCTTGTGGCTCAGTTCACTCCAGTGCATCGGACATCAAATTGTTTTCCTGACTCGGACAGGGTGGGACACATCGCGACTACGGTTTTGAGGAGGAAATGCTCACACTCCCCTCTGCCGGCTCCATCTTTGCGCGCTTGTGTTCTGGGTCCCCGGGCCCGTCCACGCCGCCCGGCCCGGCAGCGGCGCCGTCCGAGCCCTCTAAGTCGTTAGCGCGTTTGAGGCTATTCGCCGCCGGAGGCTCCTGCGCCATACTTAACACGCCCCACGGATTCCCAACACGACGATCAGTAGCGGCGGCGAGCTCGCGGCGCAGCTTCTCCTCTCCGCGCGTTCGGCGTCGCGCTCCCGCTCGGCCGCAGCGAGTCGCGCCTGCGTAGCCGGCGGATGGCGAGCAGCTCCGCGGTGCGCGCGGCGAGCTCCGCGGCGTCGGCCAGCGCGCGCTTCTGCTGCTCGGAGCGGATCTGGTGGAGCAGGTCGATGGCGTCGGCGAGGACCGGCCCGGGCGCAGCTGTGGGCGAGGTTGATGATGCCGTTAACGCGGGTGCGGGCATTAGGTCAGCGGCGGTCTGCCATGCCTGGTAGTCGGTCGGCGGCGCTGGCGCTGGTGCTGGCTGAGGCGGCGGCGGCGGCGGCGGGAAGTATGTCGGTCGCGCGGCTTGTGCGCTCAGGCCGCGGAGCTGCTGGAGGAGCTCGGTCGCCCGTGGAGTCCACTGTCCCCCCGCAGCCTGAGGCCCGCCTGCCAGCCATGGCCCGGGTGCACGTGGGACCGGAGCAGACGTTCCGCCGGCGAGCCCGGGGGCAGGCGCCGGCGCCGGTGCCGCCGCGGATTGCGATTGGGGCGGGAAGTACGAGACCATCTGGCGCAGGAAGGCGTCCGTGCTCGTGTTGCCGGTGAGCTCAGCGAGGCCGGGGTAGGTGTACGGCGTGGGCGGCGGCGGGTAATATGAGAATTGCGCGGCGTTCGCGCGCGCGTTCGTCACCGAGGGCGGCTGGTTGTTCATCGTCGTCGTCTCTCGCTTCGCCTGGTGGTAAGACGCAAGTTCGGTGCCGGTGTGACCGTCGTGACTCTGCTTCTTGACTTAAGCTTTCAGGGTCGCGCCTCGTGCTCAGGGTCCATCGTCCACCCAACCTCCGCTGGCTATTCTGAGCCCTGCTCTACTCCTCGCGAGCAGGCTAAGTGATCCCAACAGTAACGCGTCAGCCCTACCAAAAGAACATTAGGTTGCGCTGTCTAAGCAAAAGGCATTTTTAGACAAATTTGAACTTACACGACAAGCCGCGGATTCGAACCCCGTGCATCGCGTGCCCCGCAGCCGGCCCGGGGGTGAGACGTGTCGCATCAGCTTCAGCGAATCAGCACTACATAACCCCGGTAACCGAACTGCGGCCTTCAAGTGCAGAAGTGGTGTCTAAAGGTTGCAACTCGAACAAGTCTCCCCTCGCCGCAGCGCTCCGATTCGTACCTGTGAGACCAATCCACCGACAGCTTCACGTGCCTTCAATCCAATCACCGGCTGTCGGCCGGTCGGAGCGCCCTGACCGATCAGTGTCACACGAGACGCCGCTTTGCTCGCTGCACCCACCTGTGCCCGCCAGACAGCGACTTTCCGCCGACCGGGAGTCTGTGCGCCGCGCCCAGAGTCGACGATCCCTGCTACTAGTAGTCTGTCGACTCTTAGATTGCACGCGACTGCGGTGGCCGCAAAATGCGGAAAAAAAACGTGCTGACGCAATGCCATGGCATGGCGCTCCTTCCTCTTTCTAGAGGACGTCGGGACGGGACGCGGGCGTGGTCGTGGAGACGACCATCTGAAGCTCCGCCTCCGCCTCCGCTGCGGCTGCCGCCGCCGTGCTTCATGCGCTGGTCTAGTCCGTCTAGAGGTGTGTTGTTGCTCGTTCTCCATATATCGGGCTGACAGCTCGGAAATCACAGGCTGACAGCGCGCCTGGCTCGGCGGATAAAGTACTCGTGAGGGGCATGGGTGCACCGAGACCGTGCCATTGGGCAGACTCCAGAGCATCGCGGATAATCAGCAGCCTGTGCTGACCACAAGGTGTCTGACCATGCTCCTTTCTCTTTCCCTCGGAGCCCCGCGCTCATTATCTCCAAACACGGATACCCCGGTCGAGCGCCCGCCGCCCGCCGCCCGGCGATAGCCGATAGGCTTTTCGTCGAGACTCAAGATACGTCGGCGCGCCGCGGGACCATCCCTGGGTAACTCGCTCCTCACTCATTGCTACATCGAAGTCCTCTGATGGATAACTGTGCGGTACTTGCGGCGATGGGTTCAAGTTTGCATTCCGCACGGCTTGTCGGGCACACGTTCGGTCTGGCAGGTGTTGTTCTCTCTTCGCTGACGAGCCACAGGGAGTCAACTCAGGGATGTCCACAGCAACAAGATGCTCGCGCCCGATAGCCGCTGGGTCTGCCGGCTCGACTGCAGCATCTCACTTCGAAGTCTGCGCCGATCCGGATCAGGGCGAGCGAGCAGATGTTCTTGGCGACCCATGTCGACGACTCGGAAGGCTGGAACGCCGGGCGCATGGCCAGGACGATGACGGCGATGGGCGGCCGATAGAGCTAGGCGGCGTGTGCAAGAGAAGTAACAACTGTGGATCCGTGGGAAGCTCATGCGCGCGTGGTTGCCTTGAGTTCGAGCCTAATTTAGAACAATAAGAGTCTTTGTTCAAATAAACTGACTTTGACAACGCCACTGAATCCCTTGTTCTCGTGCCATGACGACGACAGTACCAAGAACATTGTTCTTGTTTTCTTTGATTATCAACCCACATCCTCGGTCAAAGAAGCCTGGCGTGTGAGCTGTCGAATCAAAAAGAGGAACAATAGTTCCTTGTCGAAGAATGAAATAACAGCCAGTGCGCAGACAATGTCAGCTGTGTTCCTTTCCTTCCCCCCACTTTTTTCTTCAGCCTCTGCTCACTACGACCCTATGCGGCTCTTAAACAGCCAGGATGTCCCCAACGAAATCATTCTGGAGATCCTTACCCTTGCACTCTTTGTGCCCGATAGTGACTTCTCCTCATCTGACTTCTCAACCTTTGCACGGTTTGAGAACTCAAGCTCTGCCTACCTGGCTGTCTGCAAGACCTGGCACCAAATTGGCACCCCACTCCTCTACCATGTTGTGGTCATCCGCTCAAAGGCCCAAGCCCAAGCACTGGCAGCAGCACTGACTAAGGACAATAGTCAGAAGACCAAGCCTGGGGACAAGACACTTGGGGACTTGATCAGGAAGCTTCGCCTTGAGGGCGGGTATGGAGAATCAACATTCAAGATCTTGAAACATTCCACCAAACTTACTGATCTTTGTCTTACATTCGATATTGTGACACCAGATACCAGTGGGGGACTTTGCCGTGGTCTCCAGCTTATTAACCCTCACCGGCTGCTGGTGGATTTCAACTATTCCGGGCGTAGAAACAAGATGATCAAAGCTCTCATGGATGCATTAGTGACAGCAATTAAAGGATGGCATTCCTTGTGGTGTTTATCATTATTTCAACCAGTTGAGACTGATATTTATGGTGTTCCAGACCATGTTGCATATAATGGATGATGCTAGGATAACAAGCTTTTCGCTCATGTTCATACATGCTGTAGCTGCTGCTGGCCACCTGGAACACCTCGTTGTCCCTGACATTAGATGTGCTGGGCCACTTTATCAAGAATTACAGAGGTGTCCTTTGCAAAGTGTCACTGTCAGATCAGCACCTGCTGAGCTTCATGCTCCAAACCCTAGCCTCCAGTCTTTGTTTAGATTCACAGAGCAGAATAGGTCTGCAGTCTTCCAAGTACTGAAATAAGCACTAAATTATTTTCAGTGAACTTCCACTTATGTCTACCAATGACTTTGCTTTTACCCCACTGCAGAACTCCCCACCGGATATCCAGGAATCTATCTGGTCACACATTCTCTATTTTGCAATGCAATGCCCAGAACGTGCAGAGCAAGCCTATGTGGATCCTTTCTATCAACTTGAAGTCATGTGGATTAGACCCAGTACATCACTCCTTCTGGTATCTAAATCTTTTCATGTGAGGAATCAGTTAAAGATAGCAATATTATACTGACATTCTGGATAGAATATTGGGATTTCCCACTTCCGTGCTCATGTTGTTATCCGTGATACTCATTCTATCCAAGGCTTCTCAGAGGCCATGGATGGGGATGAGTGGGTAGGCATCAAGTCATTTGTCACCCACAGATCAATTACACCAGACACTCTTTATAAATTGATTATCAAGACAGGACATACACTTACAGCCCTACATGTCATAACAAAACGTTCTGAAGCAGAGAAGTTGCTTCTTCCACCAGATGTCTTAGCACAGCTCAGTGTGCTCACATATCTCGAATTTGGTGGTCCTATTGTGTTCTCACTAAATGAGGGCTATCCCCAAGATGCTTTTCCACATCTGAGGACTCTCATTTTGTGCTCTGTTCATCCTACCCTGCTATCAGTGCTGGAGCATATACAGTATGTTTATCCACGGTTTCTTTAAATTTGTTGAACTCAATGTTTCAGCCTGCCTATGCTCCATACATTGGAGTTATACACATCCAAACCATTATATGATATTGATTGGACTCCCATGCTTACTATCCATGGAAATAAGGTGGTCAACCTCTTAGTGCAACTGCAAGAGTTGGAGCTAATTGACAGCAACTTGCTGAATTTATGCCCCAATTTAGCAACTTTGACACTGATCCCCAAGGCATGTGAACATAACTTTCATATATTAATATTGATCTCTAAGTATAAACTACCTCCATTATCCACATTCCTGAATGCAACACTTCCTTGTGACAGTTTAACCCGGCTCACTATTGGCATAGGAAAATGGCCTACCTAGTGGGTTTATACTCCTTTCCAGTTGCACTGATTCAAGGATTTCAGTAATCCAGGGAAAAGCAACATATTATTTGGCAAATGGGATGAATTCTTTTCTTTATTCAAGCCTACTGCAGAGATCATGATTCCCAATCTTCATGAAATATCATTTGATTGCTTGGAATGGCCCACACATGAGTTAGTGTTTTCTTTCTAAATCTGTTTGTAGTATCTGATTTAAATATGTGCAGGAGAGACATTGCCAGAAGTTGGTGGGTACGCTGGGCTAAAGAGTTCAAACTCCTTGGTATAGACCTGGTAGGACCTAGTAATAGAAAGTGGCGGCCAAGGTTACAGGTTTCCTAGGGAGGATAAATAGTACAGTACATTGATCTGCATATTAGTTGTGTAACTCCAGACATATATACCAACAGATGATTTGCAGGTTGATATGGTTATACTGACCCATTTCATTCAATTCTGCTGGTCATGGTCACATCAGATTTTTTGGCCAAAATATTTCAGTGAGTTACAGATTTTTTGGTCCAAAGTGTTGCAAATAGGAAGTTTTTCAAAATTTTCCTCATTCTCTAATTGGGTAATAGGATAAGTACAAGAAATTTCGGCCAAACAGAAAATATAGCCAGTCCTTGACCTTACCTCTGCACACTAGGAAGATGCTAAACTATATACTTGTCACATCCGTGCATCTGTCAAGAGCCGCAGCCCGTGGGCTGTTCACGGTCTGCCGGGCTCCGGCCCAATCCAATCCGGTCCCTCCGGCGACCTTGTACTCTCTATGTCTTTCGCCTTGTTACTTATATCTCTGTATATCCTTATGTTTGTTACTTTCCATATGCACTCCGTACCTTGTACTTACTTATGGTCTTCCCTTTCTACTTACTATTAGTATTTAAACAGCTAAAGTAGCTATGGTACTTTAGCTTGATTATAAACGTTATTTGCACTCCTCCTCTGTGCGGAACAACTCTGATAACTCTTCTCTCTCTCTCTTATCCTTCAACCGGACTTCACTCCGCTCACGGACCTTGTCCGCTCCGATCCGGTTGGTCTTGTGTTCATTCATGTCAGGCAGCTACTGGCTTGTTAGCTATAGTAGAAAACCCCTCTGTTCTGCACAGCACTTGACAATACTGACCAGTCAATATATTGTCCTTGGAAC